TACAGCATAACGATCCACACTCTTTGCGCGCGTGTGCATGTGATGTTACATGGTGAATGATATAATAAGGCTCACCTGCTTTCATCTTGTGTCCTGGAGCAAGTCGATCTTTGGCCGCCCGGTTCTCCGTGGTGGCCCAATGGAGAGCTTCCATTTCTCGTTGCGTTGGTGGTTTATTCGTCTTCTTTGCGGCGGTATCTACAGTAAGTCCTTTTGTCTCTTTTGCCGCTAATGTTTCAGCAGCAGAATTTTGGTTTGCGGCAGCTTCTGCAGCTTTCCGCTGCGCCTTTAGCGCTCTCCAACGATTGTTGAAATTGTCCCGCGTGACACACTTAAAATCTTGGCCGTAAAAATCAACAATCCTTTGAATGTCACCACGTTTTTTGGCTTTATTCTCCTCATGGACCTTGATCAATTCATCCAGAACAAGATTCTGAAGTTGTTTGGCTTTTTGTTTGGGCGTGAGGTTCTTGTAGTTTGGAAGAATCGCTGTCGAAGACGCCATGATGAAAATGCCTTATGTTGTTTGTTTTATGAGTATGTTACGACTGACTCCCTCTTGGAGTCGAACTTGGAGTGACATTTGTAATCTAGTGAAAGTCATCCAACATCTTTGCGGAGTATATTATTGTCATCCAAAACCAAAATGAAAAACAATATAAGGTCGATGATTATTTTCATTTCAGCAGCATTTCAAAATGGCGCGAACATTGTTCATGCGTGCGTGGTGCGCGCACTCATCTCGAAAGAAGCACAAAAACAATAACAAAACAAAAGTATAGCATTGACAATAAACAAACCTTCAACCCTCGTCCTGTTTATATCAATATTTATGCTTAACCTATGCTTCTGAAGCAACCATGAAACCATCCGTAATCGAAAGGTTAAACTCACTGCGCAACTTTGTGGGAAACACTTATTCAGAGTCCGATTTATCATCCTGCCTGAGACAGGCGGGCTATGACGTAAATCTTGCTGCCAACCTTCTCCTGACGGGGGACTTTAAGCCAAGCCCTACGAATGCAGCCTCGTCCATATTTTCATTGGGAAAGAAACGAACATCTCCTTCCAGTGATACTTCGCCCAAACCCAGCTCTTCCAATCATGATCAACAAACTCCTTCCAATCGTCATTCGAAAAAAGCCAAATCCAATGCTGCTACCATGAGTTACACCACACCCAAATCACGCCAGTCGGCCGCCGTCACCCCCACGACCCCTGCTACTGCTGCTGCTGCCAAAGATGATGACCGTTGGCTACTTTGTCAACGATGGCTCAGTGACGGCGTCTGTACCCAACGCAACGGATCCGTGGCCTATCAAGAATCCCTCCAAATCGAAGCATCGTCCACCATGATTCGATTTCGGGGCAGGAATGTGCAAGGTCAATTCCCCAAGCGCGTCAGTGCCTTTTTGGCACCCCTGATGGACCATATCGAAGTGACGGCCTCGGCGTTGATGGAAGAACGTTTTCTCCGAATTGGTTCCCAAATTCCCTTTTCCCTCAGTGTGTGGCTTCCGTGCGACCCGTCGTTGTTTTTTGAATTGTTTGATACTACAAAACAAGGCGCGGCATCATCCTTGTCGTCATCATCATATACCAAAACTAATGGGATCTTGAGCAAGTCGGTCAAAAGCTCAAATGCCACCCCCAAAGCCAAGGCAGCCTTTGCCTTGCTTCAGTGGGCTCAATTGGGAGATGCCCTGGAAGAGTTTGATCCCAATGCCAGTACTTTGAGCGATGACGAACAAGCAAGTGATGACGATAATGAGGAAGGGCTATTGCTACTCGAAGAAGAAATAGAAGAAGAGGAACAGCAGGCCGACGAGTCGGAGGAAACCAAAATTGCCCTCGATTTGTCATCCAACAATAACAATACTAGTCATTGCCCCGAAATGGACGAACCGGATCATTTTGGTTGTCAATTGCGGCCCTACCAAAAAGAATCCCTTTGGTGGATGATCCAGCGGGAAGCGGAGGAAGAAAATGCCGACTTTTTGCGCCAACAATTGCAAGTTCTGAATGATTTGGCCAATACTACTACTACTACTACTACTACTACTACTACAACTACTACAACTTCTCACGAGTCATCCTCAAATGGGGTGCAAGTGGTCACGCCAGGAATTAGTTGCGATTGTGGACCAGTGGCCATAATGGCGACTGATGGACAACATGAGAATGACGAGGAGGATGGGATCGAGGCACCACCCGTTCAGGACAATGGAACCCCCGCCGATTTGGATCATCCACTCTGGGAACGACGGTATCTGTGTTCAAGCGATCGGACCAGAGCCTTGTCCTTTTACGTCCAACCCTTTTTTGGTGTGGCCTCGGCGTCACCACCCTTGCCACCCAAGCCATGTCGGGGTGGACTATTGTGCGATTCCATGGGATTGGGCAAAACCATTCAAATACTGGCATTGATTCAAACGTCCAAACAAATAGATGAGCAGGCTGGTAATGATGGTCCTAAAACGACGTTGATTGTAACGCCATTGTCATTGTTGGCGCAATGGGAAGAAGAAATCAGGACCAAGACCAATCTGACATCCTCTGTGTATTATGGAGACAGCAAGGACGGAGTATCCTTTGCCATGGTAGATGTCGTATTGACGACCTATGGGACGCTTCAGGGGGAAATGCGTGCCTCGTTTATTGCTCGCAAACCAAACAGCAAGACGAAAACAAGCCAACGGAATATCTCTGGTGGTGGTGGCGGAGTGCTGCTTTCTCAGGCTTGGAAACGAATCGTTTTGGACGAAGCCCATTGCATCAAGAATACATCGACCGTTGCGTCCCGGGCATGCTGTCTGTTGCAGGCGGAACGACGGTGGTGTGTCTCCGGGACGATTATTCAAAATTCCTTGGAGGATGCCTACGCTCAGCTCAAATTTTTGCGCCACGAACCTTGGCACAATCATGGTTTTTGGAACACGGCCATTACCCGCGAGACAGATTCCAATGTGGCATTGGGGCGGGTCCAAAAGGTACTGGCGCCCATTATGATTCGACGGACCAAAGATTCTTTGGACAGGCATGGCAAACCCATCTTGTCATTACCACCAGTGGAGACCAAGACTATTACTGTGGAGTTTTCCGAGGCTGAACGACAATTTTACGATGCTCTTTTCACGAAATCTCTCTCCTTGTTTGAAGGATTCATCCAGACTGGAAGCGTTTCCAAGTCATGGCTGGCCATCTTTTCCTTGATCAATCGACTTCGGCAGACCTGTGATCATGTGGCGTTGACACTGAAGAAACACATGGGGAAGGATGAGTGGGCATCTCGCATCACGGCATCCCAACGGATCAAAGGAGAAGAAGAAACGGAGCAACTAGAAGAGGAGAATGGCAAAGATATTGACTCGCGCTTCCTGAACAATATCATGGACCAGTTCAAGGCCATGCAAAAGGATGGAAGATCTTCATCGCAGCAATCCTCCTTTGCACAAAAGGTTGCGGAACGGCTGAATGACGCGACTCAAGGCAAGGGCGAGTTGGAAGAATGCCCGCTTTCGCTGGATCCCATTGATGTCGAATCAGCAGTGGTGACTCCCTGTTTCCATGTTTTCAGCCGAGATGGACTGATGGATGTTATCAACACTCAGAAAGCAAAGGCAAAGTCTGTTGATTTTCCTTGTCCCGTATGCAATGCACAAGTCTCAGCCCCAAAAGTACTGTCGATTTCCAAGCAAGATGGTGAGGTTCAAATATCCTACTTGCATGATCCCAAGCCAGTCGTCGCTCCCAAAACTGAGGAAGACCCTTCCGGTGCTCGTCAAGTATTGGAAACGGCCATTGGCGGATCGATGAGTTCCAAATTGGCTGCCATTTCAAACGAACTTGAGAACGTTTGGGACGAGGACCCTGGATCCAAAGTTTTGGTACGTTAGTGTCCGCGATAGATGAGCATTTGAAAAGATGATGTTTCCTCACTACTGGTCTTTTTGTTCAGATTTTCTCTCAATTTCTTGGCTTTTTGGATATGATGGAGCATGAATTTGGTAATCAAGGAATCGCAACGTTTCGACTTGATGGGTCACTCTCTTTGAAGGACAGAGTCAAGGTGATTCAAGAGTTTGGCCAGTCCAAGAAATCTTCTACCCCTACGAATCGTACAGGATCCGTTTTGTTGATATCCATGAAGGCAGGGGGCGTTGGGCTAAACTTGGTAGCCGCATCGTCCTGTTTCATTGCCGATCCATGGTGGAATGGTGCTGTTGAAGACCAATGCATCAATCGGATACACCGAATCGGTCAGACGGCAGACAAAGTGCGGGTCCGCAAGTTTTACGTCGCCAATACTGTCGAACAACGGATTGTACAGCTGCAGGAAAAGAAGAAACGAATTGCGAACCAAATTATGGCGGAAGGAAACTCGGGAACGACTGACCTTTCGGCAGGTCAGCCATCATTGGAAGACTTGAAACAATTGTTCCAAATGGGATGAGACTGAGGGGACATCACGTGGCTGAGACCTGCAGATAGGGGCAAGACTTGTCGATCTTCCGTTTGAAATCTCCTAAAAATGTTCCGAGAGCAGACCACCACCAGCTGATTCAAATCCAATGCATTACCGTTGTCACAGTGGCTTAATGCTTGATGAAGAACTTACTAGAACCGTCATTACTAGAACTGTTACAACAAGTTCATGTCGTTCATGTGTGCACTTCTCTTTTTTGATCGATTAAAGTTAGGTACCGATAGTAAACAGGTAAATAGATGGTACTTGCAATCGTCAACTATCGTTCTTGAGAAAAGTACATTGCTATGCTTTGATCATTTGAGTCGAGTTAATAGTCTATTACAACAGTACCCGGTACAGTCTTCAATATACTGGTACATACAATAGCGTCTTCATTTGCCCAAAATCGACAGACATTTCCCCTTGGCAGTTCCGATTTGTACTTCGTGTGCATCAAGCAAAACATCGTGTCCGATGATTGCGTTGGCTCCAAGCACAGCACCGTCTTGTTCTTCGACATACAGTCTGTTGGAAAGCAACCCTTCGAGTTCCTTCGCGCGTCTGGTTCACTGAGTAAGATCAATCGTCGTCATCAGATTCGAAGGTGTCCCAGAATTCGCCTTTGGCTTTTTGATTTACGACCTTCTGCCTGAGTTCAGCATTTTGAGTAGCATTTTTCTTGCTCTGCGACCTTCTGCCTAAGTTCAGCATTTTCAGCAGCGAGCTGAGCTAAGATCTCATGAACGTCCGACATTGATGCTTCGTTGTCAGTCTTCGAGCTGTTTAGCTCGTCACAGTATGAGTGAGCTGTAATTGTCAATGGTTCTAGATTCCAACGTTGTTGTCGTTTCGTGTTTGTTTTCGTTTTTGCTGACCCGTGTTTTCACCATCAATCCTTTGGTTGGTCAACTCTAGACTTATTACAGTACTGGTACTGTATGATACTATAATAACTGTACAGTAACAACCAGAATTGGATGTGAGATATGACACCCACGCTCGCACCATTAATAATTTTTTCAAACGTGAAGAGCGATCGATCGATAGAGCAACTATCTTTGTCACTGTTCAACAGAGACGGGAGGTTTACACGCAAGAAACCCCATTGAACCCATCCAAATGTACCAAGTGTGTAAGAGCATAGTGGCTTCATATGAAATTTCTCATTCGTTTGTCTATCTAAGATAGCCTACTGCCGTCCTCCGTGTGTGTGTTCGTAGTATTTTGTCTTGGTGTGTAGCTGGTGGGTTGTGGTGTGAAGCGGGTCGAACTGATCGAGTAATAGACTCGATTCGTTCGACCAATCTCAGAAATCCCGTGTGCGGTATTACTGAGATCTGCTTTCCTACCAGGCACCGCCGATATGGTAAAATGGAGGCGGTGCCCAACAGGGCGGGTGAGGTTTGGGAGAGAAAAATTGAATTACCGCGACACAAGTGGGTGAATTCAATCTCAGTCGATAAACTGGGCATCATTGCCTGGGCGCATCGACAACAACTTTTGACGGTCGAAGGCCGTTCGGCCTTTGTCCGTCTGTAACACAATGTAGTCAAAGAAATCGAACAGTGTGCCTGCGGTCTACGTTGGACGAATTTTTTTGGGGATGGATCAAGTCGTATGAGTCGAGTGAACACGTCGTTCATAGTTAGTTAATTCCCAATGCGTTATACTGCGATTTGAACCTTCATCACATTGCGTTGTGAATTTATTCCAAAGCAATGAATCAACTATGCGGCCTAGAATTAGAGTCAACAATCGATGACTACCTCTCTGAAGCGGAAAGAATCGCGTTGAAGGAATTTACCGAAGTCTATGAAGGCACTTGTCCAGAGGCCATTTCGCCAGCATCCAAAGTCTCTCCCCAATTTGGAATGTTGGACGAACACCACCATCTTCACAGCGAGGACGGATGGAGAAAACTCGACCAAGTGACCCTGTATAGATTTCTATGCGCCGACAGAGTCAGTCCAACTGGTAAATTTCAGCAGGCGAAGAGTCTCGATCGATTGCAGCGGGCACTGCGCCACAGGACTGTCTCCAAAGCTGACGCTATCCTGGACTGGTGGATGGATCGGCTGGAACAACAAGGACACCACGTCAAAGCAGGAAGCGGAGAGCCACGAAAACCCAATCGCATGCTGAGGAAATTGTCATCTTCTTCGTTGTATTCCTCGTCGAGCATTGCGACTGGTTCATTCCGAATTGAAGAAGGAGCTGATACTTCTCTGCTGGAAGATGTCGAATTTGTTCCGCATCATCAAATCCGACACCCTGGATTTTCTGCGATCGACTTGGAAAAATACCGACGACTGCGGATTAGAGAATTCTCTGGGCGATGTCACAAAGGTCAGCCTGTCCTGTTTGAACGATTGGGAGCTTTTTTGGGATCTGGCAATCATGTCCACTTTTCTCACGAGGAATGGATGCAGTTGTACATTTGGGATTTGGAACGTCATTTCATCGAAATGAGAGAGGCAGCCAAGGCCAATGGGAAACCTGTACACAAGTACATCTTTTGCGGAGATGGGTAAGCAAAAACTACCTGCCTGATCATTGTCCTGATTGGATTTCCTTTCAATATTCATAATTTCTCATGTTTTTGTTCAGCCAAGGTATGGTGGAGGCAATCATGAATCGATCCATTTGGAAGGTGGTTCCTCTTTTGAAAGCGTACAAGGCAGTGGAAGACTTTTACCCAGAGATTGCTGATACCATCATTTTGTTCAATGTACCCAAGATCGCCACTTTCTTCTACAGGATGGTCCGTGGATTCCTCGATCCGGTGACTGCAGAAAAGATAAATTTGTATTCCACTTCCGATTACAAAGAAGTGTTTTCCAAAATCATGCCTCTGGATGCCGTACCTCAGGAATATGGCGGCACTAGCAAGAAGCAGTATCCCAAAATGGCGTCTAGCTAGTTGAAAGCAATGTTCCGAAATCATTGGTAGTCCAAAAGCATCCTGACGATGAAAACTGCATCCAGTTGAGGCTTCGATCGCACAGAAGCTATAGCCAGTTTTAGAACGGAATACGTCGACGAGACCAGCAACCTAAAAGGGGAATACAACGGCGCTGCTAAATCATCATGAAGACGGGGATTGAGATACCGGTACGCCAAGAGATCCTTTGATTTTTGAATTCAAACTCCCTTGAACTCTTAGAGCGAGCACTTTTAAAAAGCTCCAGATTATTTAAAATTAAAATTTTTATGCTGCAGTTGAATGATATCCTACAGTAGTGCCACGATCCATAGGAACAAGAAGTTGAAGGCGGGGAATTCTGAATCCTTAATGCCCTGCCGCTCCCATAGTGTCATTGCCAGCCAGTCTATTTCAAATATCAATCGTTATGAACGGAAATACTGATTCGCCAAATCACCGTTGGTAGAAGACGCCACCATCCTCCTTTGCACGAACGAGGCGGTCACTTCGCATTCTCCGCTTGAGATCAAGGAATTAATGAAAATGCAAATGATTCAATTCTTCGTGAATGCCTTCAAATACTTTTTCCACTTCGTCTTGAAATCGCCAACGTTCTTGACTGGATGATCTATGGATGAATAACTCATCTGAACACGACGAATCATTTGAGGGTGGGTGTGGATCAAGTTTGCAATATTCAGGTCCTCAAAAGGTGCGTGATACTTCTTGCGGTTACATTGCTCCGGATCGGTGATGTAACTGGCCAAGTCTGGAGACATCCAGTAGAGTAGGCCGCTCATAAAGGTTGGGCCAACTATTCGGTATTTCGTTGGATAGTCGAACCGGATGTCATATTTGCCCCCGAATATCCTCTTGTTCCAGGGATACATGGGCATTCGTTTTAGATCCCTGACAAAAGAAGGTGGATAGACAACCGTGTCTGTATCTGCCTTTGCAATGTAGTCAAAATATAACGTTTCCGAAAGCAGATATCCAAATCTGAACCATGTATCAGACTTCCCCTCTTCCATGTTCTCTTTGATGTCCAAGTACAAGACATCATCCTCGGCATCCTTCAATGTGCTCGCAGGAATCACCATTGATTCAGTAGCGTTAGCTTCTACTCTACTTGTAGGGCCATTCCGATTGGCACCAACAACAAATGTATATGCAATCTGACAGTCTTCGTCCTTCACTTCGTTCCTTAAGAGCTGCTGAAGACTGCATATTCGATGGGGAGTTTCACTGTTGTTATAGAAACTAAGGTATGTGCTTCGAAGTGTATCTCTTCTTTCGCGCTCGATTGCTTTCAGATTAGTTGTGAATATGCCAAAGAGCATCCGTGGCATTCCACTGTACTGTGTCTTGTTTGAGTATGAGACACCCTCATTCTCAACGAGGTCTTTTTCGAACATTGGCACCTTTGGATTTATGTATTTGTCCCAATCAGCAAGTGTTTTCACTGGAACTCCAGTTGCTGGTTTGATGCCTCCCATCTTTACAACAGACATGTTTGTCCTCGTCTCGCGTTGATACTGAACAATGCCCTGAGATAATGATGCAGGCTTCTTATCAGAGAAGTAAATTGCAAAGTCTTTGGAAAGGAACAAGATGCTTTCTTTGTAGGAGGCTGCCAAATTTGAAGTCTCATTGGACGTGAAGAATATCGCATTCTCCTCCCAAAATTCTTGAGGTTGGATCATCAGATCAGTGGACAGGGACATGATGTAGTCGAATTGGCCCAGCTTGGTACTAGCAGTACTCACTTGTATTTGTTTGGCTGCAGATAGCCATGCTTGTGTTGCCTGATATTTGTTCTCAGGCTTCTTCACTTTGATGAAAATTTTATCTGGCTCATATTCACCTTTGTTCTTCCTCAATTTTTCCTTGGATTTTTTCATGTTATTCAGATTCGTAGCAACCCCTTTGGTTGCAATCACAAATGTATATATGATTTCACAGTTATCTGCAGTCTCCTTCTTCGAGATGAGCTTTGAAATGGAACAAACTCGGTATGATGTGTTGAATGATCCAAGGTGCTTCAAATAGGTTTCACGAATGATCCTCCGTCGCCGCCCCTCCAGCCGAGTATTGCCTACTTCCTTGTTTCCCACTCCGATTATCCCCATCAGAATTCTGCGTGGCGCGGAACCCTGTTTTGGTGCTCCATCATTTAGCCCAGGTAATGGTTCAGTCGAAGTTATTGCTGAACCTGGCACTATCGCAAGGAAGGTTGAAAGCTGGGCGCCTCGTCGCAGGAGATTGATTCCGATAAGACTGATCGCTAGCAGAGCAGCAACCCCGGTCTTTCCTCTCATGTCTTTTGGTCGTTTTCAACCACTCATCTGTTCATTAGTTGCAATACAGTCATCCAAATGGTCGGCGCAGACATTGTATTCTATTATGTCTTCGATGATTCAAATGTCAAAACCGAATTTCCGTCCCATTGGAGAAGTAGAGCATCGGAGGTCCGAACATTTCATCATTATCATCGGGGTCATCGGTGAACTATTGTAAGTATTTGGAATGGTATCAGGTAGTAGCCACAGGTACATCAAATTGTGTGCTAGTAAGATAAGGGAGTTTTACAGGATTTTGTTTTTAATAAAGTATCTACTTCCGAATGAATTTAGCTTTCAAGCCGGCTAGCAGCTTCGGCAGCATGCATGTTGAAAACTTGCTCCAGACTCGTTTGGCTCACACTATACTCCGCCACTTTCAACTCGCCTTTGTTCTCTTCGATGTCACCAAATATGTTTGCGATCTTCACGCCTTCGGAACTGACTTCATATCGACTCTTGGTATCTTGTCGTTCTCGTAGGACATTTTGGGGGTAGTGTTCTTGCACAAACGAATGCAATTTTTTCATCCGAAGTTCTGCGGTTGCGAAATAAGCAAGGCTAGTCAAGCTGACACCTTCCGCAGACGCATCTTTTAGAATAGTATACCCCGCTGGATCATTGGCATTTAGCTTCGAGGTGAGAAAGTCGTCCCCTGTCAAACTTTGAAGTGCCACCATTACCTGGTCCAGTTTCAAAATGGCTCCTTCCTCCAACGGCGCACTGTCTGCAATAGCTTGTTCTTGGTCGACATCTGCATCCGCTACAACTGGAGACGGCGAGTCAGCTCCAACAGAAGTAGAAATTGAAGCCAAATTAGAAGCAAAATCTTCATCCCTAGTGTCCACGTTTTGAATCTTCATTTCGACTTGATATCCTTGGCCAAATTTAGACTTCAAATGCTGCGCCGACCCCAAGCATTTCAACCTTCCTGCGGCCATGATGCCGATCCTTGGACAGAGAGCCTCGCATTCTTCCATACTGTGTGTCGTCAAGATGACAGATGGGCGATCTTCTACTGCTAGATTTCGGTTGGAAACCATATTCGATATCATCTGCCAAATCTCACGACGGGCAACTGGGTCGACACCTGTTGAACACTCGTCCAAGAATAGCAGCTGAGGCTGCCCTACAGTAGCGCATGCTAGACTTAGACGTCGCTTCATACCTCCACTGTATTTGGAGCTGAGTTTGTTGCTATCGTCATCGCTCAATCCCACTTCCCGTAGCTTGCTTGCCACAACTGCCGGAATTTTGCTGGAAGGCACTCCTTTGATGGATGCGTAGAGCTGAAGGTGTTCCCTTCCCGTCATATTGAAGAAGTGAGCATCGAACTGTGGGCAATATCCGACCATGCGTCTTGTCTTTTCTGGTTGTCGAAGTACACTGTAGCCAGCTAGCATGGCATCACCTCCGCTTGGAGGAAATTCTGCAGTCAATATTGACATAGTCGTTGTCTTTCCAGCACCGTTTATACCCAAGAGCCCAAAGCACTATTACCAGGCAGCATAGGTTAGAAATCGGGTAGCATTCATCAAAACATTCCACAATAGTACAACTCACCTGCCCTGGAGGTATCGCGAACGACAATTTGTTTACAGCTGTCAGGCCATTATCAAACGTCTTCGTCAATTCCTTGAGCACAATTGCAGCATTCGCCGTGTCTCCATCAAGCACACGATTTTGCTCTGCCATGACATCATCGTCCTCGTCAATCTCGCCATTGATGCTCTGAGCAGTATATGAAGAAGACATCCATCGGCAGCAAAAGATATTCCGCCAAATGGAAACCGCGCGAGGATTTGATGACAAAGAGTCGATTGCGACGGCCAAGAGCAGATAACCGATGCTCTGCCAAGCCAAGAAAATGACTTCGAAGAGGATCATATCTTTGTGCCAAACATTGAACTCTTCGCCTTTCAGCTGGTGAAATTGATCAATGAACAAAATGTAGAAGAGGCCCTTGCTGAGACTGAACGATGGAAAAAAGCGAAGCACCCATTCTGTTATGATGGCAGCTTTATACAAATCCTCGTCCCTTTGAAATGGATTATCACCAATGAGCCGCAAGACGAAACAAGCCACGGCACCAGCATATCCTAAAAAGGTACAAGACGTCAGTCCAAGAGGAATGTCAAAGGTTTTGATTCACTTCAGAGATACGCACCGACCAGGAAGTTCGAAATGATGACAACAAGGTTGCACACACTTGGAGACTTGAACAGAAAGGTTGTGCAATAAGTGAAGGAGGCTGCTGCTGGCCCAAAAAGAACAAGCAACGTGATGACACCATAGACAACGTCATGCTCCGTTTTCGTGAACGCCTCTGTCTCAAACGCAAACAGCAGGATAATTGTAATCGTCATTGGAATTAGGTAGTTCGCAACATCCCAAAGCCAAGTAGACAACCAATAGGCCATAGGTTTGACCCCCGCGACTGTCTGTAAGTGCTTGCTTTTGGACTCGCGTTCAGCCACCTGAAAGTCGAAGAAAGTCAGACGAAAGTCAAGATGCGGACAGCTCAATTAGCAAGAATTTGGACTCACAACAAATGTCGCGAATGAGCCAGTAATAAAAGGAAAACCGAAGACAATAAGAAACCATGGTACTCCGGCATCGTCATTTTGCTGTGTGACCCGCTCAAACTGTGTCAAAGGAAGTGGGAAAATCGATGGATTGATCTTGAAAGCACTGTTGTTCAGGGCATGTCTGATGATTGCCTCGTCCGCTGTAGCTTGGAAGATTGGAGCCGCATGAATGGCTGTGAAGTTGTATCGAATCAAATAGCCAAGACCCCTATATAGTGAACATGATATTGGGTTTCTGTAGTCATCTTGTTGACGAAGGCACGAAGCTTCGACAAGGTCCCCATACGTAAGATTTTGTGACAGAAGGTCTCCAAAGTCAGTTCCATTGCTTGTACCACCATTGGTTAAGCCATCAAGTCCACCAAATTGCGATAGGAGGTCCTCAAGAACAGTTTGATTGAATGATCCAAGCTGTGATAATAGGTCCTGTCTGTCCGTAAAATTTCCTCCACCGAATTGCGACAGTAACGCGTCCAAGTCTCCGCCGAACATTGCTAGTAGAGCTTCCAAGTCAGGCCCAGAGCCTGCTACACTGTTTTGGTTGATTTGTACAGTACTGGCGTCATTACTTGTAAAGTAAATTCCTCCATATTGGGATGCCGCGAACATCTCCGCGGTATCGATGATGCTCCTGGACGACTTCAATCGTAGAAGTTGTCATCGTAGAAGTTGAAATGTGAGAAATAGTTAAAAGCTTTGCTGAAAAGTAGCAACGCAACGCTTACCTGCAACACAGATTCCCCACTAGCGTAAACAGCTTCGGATCCATAGTCTTTCAGCATATTCGGTATATCATCAGTTGGTTCCCCACCAGAGCATGTACTGTTGTTCCCAATGTTCGTGTGGTACCCACAGTAGGAGTAGGTTTCGTTGGTAGTCTCTTCCTCGAAGAATTCAGAGTCATATGCGCACCTTCCGGGCTGGCACTGAAAAATGGATGCGCTGTTAATAGTGATTGGATTTCGAGGAGATTCCGAAACCTGGTCATTGAAGGTGTCGAGGGTCAAGTCGATTGGCTCAAACTCCTGCACACTTGACGAGTACTTGACAATGAGAAAACCTGCGAGCACAAAAAGACTAGGAAGAATGGTACTGCACATCCAGGCTTTCTTGTCCCTTTTGAAATTAGCAGCTCTTTTGCGAAATAATGCACCAATATGTGTTCCAAATAGGTCCTCTTCAAGTTTGATCTTGCGAATATCCTCTAGATTCTCATCATCAGCAAGATTGCGTTCTGACATAGTCATGTCGGTCTTTTCAGCAGAATCGCCACGAGCAACAAGCAGAAATACTTCTTCAAGGGTCGTAATCCCCAAACCGTAGTTTGCCACGTCGCCTTTTGCAATTTCGTCGTCCAATTTGGTTAGCATGGAAACGAAGCCAGAAGAACTGCCGATCGGGAGCTGGAAATTCATCTCGGTTCCAATATTTGAAAGTATGGTTGCGCCGCTAACATCTGATGTGACAATCTCCTTGACAGTGGACTCAACGTCTGCTGCATTGTCGCCTTCATTGTGCATCTCAATGGTGAGATTGTACCCAACGCCATAACTCTTCTTCAAGTACAAAGAGCTTCCAACGCAACGAAGTTGTCCTTCCGCCATGATGGCGATCCTATCTCCAAGGATATCGGCCTCGTCCATGAAGTGGGTTGTCAATATGATGCATCGTCCCTCTCGGTATTGACGGATCACGTTCCAAGTGAATCTTCGAGAAAATGGATCCTATTTGGGGAGACAGAGTTAGAATTGCAGTAACGAGTCAAAAAATCGAGTCCAAGTACGCGTACCATTCCACTGGTGGGCTCGTCCAAGAAGACAGTCTTACTATCGCCACAAAATGCAATTGCAACACTCAATTTTCTCTTCATTCCGCCACTTAGATTCTTTGAGTATGTGTTCCTCTTGTCCCACAATGCAACATCCTGGATACTAGACTTGATTTTTTCCTCGGCCTCCTTGCTTGTGGATTTTTTATACAGTCCCTTGACCATGGCAAAGAACTGAATGTGCTCCTTCACAGTAAGATTGTCAAAGATACAATCATGTTGCAAGCAGATACCAATTTCTTGACGGATTTCTGCCATTTGAGTCCTGACATCTTTGCCGGCAACAATGGCATAACCATCCGTTGCCGCCATCATTCCGGTCAGCATGTTCAACGTGGTCGTTTTGCCTGGGGTCAGCGATAAACGGTGAGTTAGCAAAGTATCGAGAAGTAATTTTTGTAAGTGCAAAGCGGACAGCCGACTCACCAGCTCCATTATGCCCCAAGAGTGCAGTGCACTGCCCTCTGTACATGGAAAGGTTCAATCCATCAACTGCAATTTTATCGCCAAAGTGTTTGCGCAAGTTACGTATTTCGATACTCTTCCCTTCCTTAGCCTGATCTTTCAAGGTCTTCGAAACTGGTTCGGAGTGGAGAGCTGAATTCTCTGGAATTGCATCAGTACTTGTGCCCGGTGCGACACTGCCAGGCAACCAATAAGCTTTTGTAAATGGAAAGTGAAAGGGGAGTGTACGTCCGAATTCGCCAGGGATCACTCGATTTGTGTACCAGCCCAGCATTGCGTACAAGATGGTATCAACCAAAAGGATTGAAAGAGTGTTATTGAATGTAAAGCCTGATGGACTATCCGTCACGTCGACAGTATTCCAAATGAGGCCAACACCAGCATCTTCCAAGCGACCAATCTCCTGAAGACCAAATCCAAAGGCAGCCGTTGGATGCAAAGAAGCGGCCATAAGCGTGGAAGATGGATCGGCCTGATAATCGACAAAAAGAGTGATAAAGTAGCCCCCAAATGTGAACATTAGGCCGACCAATGTGGCGCGAGTGGCTTGCGTAAAGAAGGAAGCCAGAAAGAAGCACATCGATATGAGGGAAGTGAACGACAAGACCCAAAAGATGATGAGAAGATCAATGGAAGACTTGGGATAAAACAGCTTGGTAACGGCTCCACATCCCACAGCTGTAAAGATATGAAAGATAAGGAACGACATGTACCATGACGAACCGATATCATTTTCTTGGATTCCCATCATCTTCATAAGTTCCTTTTGCCGATTCTGCTTCTCCAGTACAATGTATCTCGTCATGGATGCCACTGGGTACAAAATACCTAGTGTCACCAACAGAGGTACCCAGGCTGCAACGATAAAAAAGGCAAAGGGTTAGGACCAGTCGAATCATCATTTTGGTGTCGAAGAATGTATACATGTCTTACCTGCAATGGCCGCATAGAAACCTTCCGAAACATACTCCTTCGACGGAAATGGTGCAAACCTCACACCGTGCTCGGCGACAAAGTAACCAGCATCCTTGGCGTTCGAGTCTTGGAAAATGAAATCATGAATCAAACGTTGTGTTGGGAGGACTCCATTGATCATGTAACGACGCGTACAAGACTCCGCTTTTGCACCAACTCTTGGTGATCCGGGTAATCTGGGACAAGACTCATCGTTTTTGGCAAAGTGATCAAAGTCTTTATCGGTGGGTGGGGTAGTACTTGTACCAGGTTGCGTCTGATCTTCGGGGTTGGGGAAATTGGTGCCATTGAGACGGATCGTGTAGGAATAACTGTCAGTACCACCGTCGGTACCATCCCATACTACCGCCAAGCCAAGAGTCGGCTTTTCATCGGTGGATAGCCGGTAGTCTCTTGCTGTGACGTAATTTTCAAGGTCTAGTTCGCTGTCAAAGACTTGCACAAAATCAAAACCAAACGGAAGGCTGGTTGTATTTGCACTGCTCAGAACTGGAAATTGATTATGAACGAAGTTGCGAAAGGCTTCGGCGCGCTCCTTGCCAACACTATCCGAAGCAGATGACGGAGCGACTCCCAAAGCCAAGTACTGACAAAATGGTGACGCATCTTGTCCATCCTCCGTGCACATGCGGCGGTCGCACTTGACAAAGGGCACCTGCCAATTGAATCCGCGCCCTGGCATGCCAGAGATTTCATATTCACCGCCAAAGTCTATTTTACAGACTCGTTTGGCCTGCATGGCCGTCACATAATCACCATACGAGAACATGAGTGTAGCATCATTGGTGTCCGGGAACTCGGCTTCGATGACTTGAGGTGCAAAACCTTCCGTGTCCTCGACAGAGCTTTTGATCAAGACGAGCAAGGCAATGAATCCAATTGGCAATGCGAGCTCCAAGATCTATAGTTGTAGAGGATTAAAATGGTAGCAACAGCAACAACGACAACATGAGCTGTGCATCAAGGAATTGGATCCTCAAAAGATACGGCAAAAGATACTTACCGTTCCGATGATATTGCGTCTCCTGTAAATGGCATTACGCCACATCAACGCACGCCAAGAATTGGATCCAATCATGGTGAGTTCTTATTCCAATAATATATTCGTTTGTCTCAATGTCTCAGTTGTTGTTGTGTCCTTGTAAGATCAAGCGACCCTCTTGGTCACTTCGTTTGTGGGACTTGGCTTCTTGAGTTATTGTTGGGTCGTTGGCTTCGAATCGAACACTGGATATGTTCGATTGAATTGGCGTATGCGAACACTTGGAACTGAAAAGGTTTCCGTTTTATGGAAAAACAGAGAATCGGAGAGAAGAAACACGCGGGTCTTCTCTCCACTCCCGCGGGTTGCTTGTTGATACTCACATACATGACCGTTATTGGTGGGCTAATTAGTAAAGTTTATGTGTGACAATTGAAATGTATGTGCAATTATAGGAAAAAGAGGTACTATAAAATATACCAACGGATCTCTTCCCATAGACACACGGCGTCGTGGACATCCCACATATGAAATTGTTGTCATTTTCCTTATTTCGTCTGTTTCACAATTTTACTCAAGCAAATATCTTCTTCCAATGGAGCATCTAAACATTACACCAACCAGCAGCAGCCAACACTCCACCAAGATTAGGGAGCGCGATCTACTCAGATTGCTCATGACAAGGGAAATGGCAACTGCTGAATCGTCTCCAGTAGAGGAAGGAGTCACTCGCAAAGTATCTTTTGAGGATGAGGATTTTGACGTGGCTGTCAAAAGTCCAAGAGGTCTGGATGTATTCGATTCCTTTCGACTTTCTCCTCATTCCAAAGAGAACAAAATATCATCCTATGCAAGAGAAACAATCGTTGAGCCAGACCTGTCGGCATTTTGGCAGTCCAACATTGCAGTAAAACTTTTTTGTCCGGAACCGAATGAAACTCCAGAGGATGCGGTCAACAAGATGATTGACATTCTCGAGCGCGCCACCACACATCCCAAGAACTGCTGGTCTATCGTTAAGGGAAGTCGAAGTGATCTGAGGACGCTAAAGGATGAAGACCTGTTTAGAGTATTCACTAAGGCTGTATACATCAAAGAGACCTTGTATCTCTCCCGATCCACAATCAATGAGGGCAATGCACGCTTTAGTTTTCGAAAATGCTGCAATCAAGTTGTTCAGAATATGGGAGGGCTAGTGAAACCTCATGATATCACTGCTGGGTATACTGTTGGAGAGTGGTTTCGCGACTTTCGAAGAGGCAGAGGGTTCACCCATTACAAGTGCCAATCGTCGTCGTCGTCGTCGTCCTTGCAACAAGAAGTGGCTCCGTTGCTGACGTTTTTCGATGAAGAACCAGATCTCTACAAGGTCTTCAAGTTTCAGTTGGTTTCAGATATAGCACGGTTATCGGCAAAAAGAGCACTTTACATGTTCTTGAAGAATATTATTCCAATGGCATCCTCCAAGCGTCGGTGTGAATCAGACGATATCATTTTAGACTACGGATTGGACGGTCTGCAGCAATGGCATTTCCATGAATGGCTGAAGGATCAGGACTTTGTAGGCGAAACGTGTTCCGATAGTGGTGAGATCGTGTGGACCTATATGGAAACGGTTGACATGTGATGGTGATGACGAAGACATCTCCTACCGGTACTTCGGATTTTTTGCCCTATTATAGTGGTACACGTCATCCATCGGAGTAAGCCAAAACTGTTTCAGTACCCAAAAATCCCATCTCTTTTACTACGTACAACGCACGTCATCATCATCGTCTCGTCTTATTTTGGCAAGTTCATTCCATCATTTCAACTAGTTAGTTACCAACACCACATCAACACCATGGCATTCGGAAAGAAAGGCGAGACCATAGAAGTTGACGATACAGCATGGATCCTGGAAAACGGCTTTGCTGAATTTGTACTCATGCACACTTCTGAGATTGTAAGCATCCCAATCGTTATTGTACTACTACTATTGATGAGAATAATTAGGATCCAGAATTCAGACGCTTCTCACCTGCTGCTTCTTGTTCAATTTTAGAAATACATGTGCATGGTCGGATACACCTTCATGCATGGATGCAAGATTTTCAATTACTTTGAGCCAACTGATTCGGCTGCTTACAAATTCGTTTCCTTGTGCTTGGCCTGTACTGGTGGAGGTATCTTGGTTCCCATTTTCCTCAACAAGCTTCCAGTGACAATCGCTATGGACTCCTACCCCATTGCCATTACGACATCTTTCTTCCTCCACAGCATGTTCCCCATTTTGAGAGAGATCTGTGCCTTGTCCCCTATCTTCAAGGCCGGTGGTGTGATCCTTTATGAAATCTTCCGCGCCTTTGTTGTTTCCAAGTTCACCTATGCTGCCGCCGGTGTCATTCCACCTTCGGAGTTTGAAATTGCCATATTTGGTCCCATCATCTGGTAAGTGCATTTGCTGGGTGAGTTTTAGTTGACAAATTGTGTGGTCTTCTGATGAGAAAAATGATTCTTTTTCTGGTTCCTTTCAGTGGTGCCATTTCTGGATGCGGTGGAGCCTTCCTCCCCATGAGCAAGGGTCTTAATCCCATTAAGAAGACTGGTCTTGCCCCTCCCATGTTCTCTGCCTTGACTGGAGCCACCTTCTTCCACTTGTTTGTTCACTACGGCAAGGAAATCCCACATGTCAAGGACAAGGCCCGTGTCATTTTGGCGGCGTGGTTCATCTTCTACGGACTCTACTCCAATGGCCTTCTTACCATGAAGGCAAAGGCACCAGCTGCCGACAAGAAGAAGAAGGAGTAAATCCATTTAACTCACTCAACATGTCCTATTTGTATTTTTTGAAACTTGCAGCCACCGCCCAAGCTAAAGCAGGTGGGCTCCATAATAGTGCGCCAAGTAAGCTGGCTAGTAGTGTGTTCCCAATTCCGTATCTGAATAAAAGGGAAAAATGAAGATCGTAGTTAAAAGAGCCATAGCTAAACTTTTTATTTGCAGTACAGGACATGTTCATTTCAGCAAACCCTCCTTATTCGAATTGAAATAGCCCTTGTTGTATCATGCTCAAGTCGGGAGTGGAAGAAAAAAAACATTGTCAATGATTGGTTCGGGCTGATCGCTCAAGAGTATTTGGAACAATAACAACAGTGACATATATTATGGAATGAATACAATTTCGTTCAATGATTGTTTATAATAATAAAATAGTAGTCGTTTATCTAATGCAGTCGGCCACCATCCGTGACACACTGGCGTCGTCACTTCGGACGGCAATCTTAAGAACGACATTTCCAGTCTCTCCTTGCATGGCAATTTGGGAGCGAGCCAAGACTTGTTGTCCCGACACAAAGACACCACTCATGTGCAACATGTGTGGCTTGCCACCAGTATTGGGCTTGACAGATCCAGTTCCATCACAGGGTTGCATGCCCAAAAAGTCAATCACAGCTGCAACAGCATCTCCCTTATTCTTGAATTGCAAGGCGAACTTCTCCAAGACTTCGTTTGTGTTGCCAAGAGTCTCCCAGGTTGATTTGAAATCTGGAACAGTCACCTTGGCCATAAAGTCCGAAGTGGTGATTTCCAAGTCTTCCATTGGGTATTCGTCTTCGTATGGTTCTCCTTCGTCTTCACCAGTGGTTGGGTCGACTTGAACCACCGAAAATCGGAGTTCGCATGTAAATTGACTTGGAACAAGATCGGCGTCGGGGTTTTTCTCCAAGATAGTAAAGCAGTTATGGCTTTCTCCGTACTTGATTGAGCTGCATGGAATCTCTCCCGAGGCGGTAAAGACATCCGACATGCTGTCGTCAATGAGGACTGTAACATTCTCCAGCCTTTGATCGTCTACTGTATTCTGCACCGTAAACTGCAATACCACGTGATCTTGGAAAATGTGTTTAGTGCACGAAACAACGTATTCGGTCTCGGCTTCGGTGAGCGGGACAGGACGCGCTGATCGGAAGGCTCTTCCAAGAGAGGCCAACTCGGGAATGGCGTAGACAGCAGCGGCAGGGTCCACAACTTCCTTGGGTTTCGTTGGTTCCATCAGTCCACTGATTGGATCGGCAGTAGCCGTTGATGTAGCAGCCGCCACTTCAGCAGGAGTGTCCTCAACAATTGGCAAAACCTCAAAGCTGAGTTCATCGGCAGAATCCATTGACACGGGTGTGTTCATGTATGCCGTCATGCTTCGCTCTAGCTTTTCAAAGGACAATGGCATGGCCCCTAGCAAGACGTAAGCAGCCGTATCGTTGACAGCAGGAGTATCTGGCGCAATGTCCTCGGCTTCAGCATCTTCCGGTGGTGGCACGTATGGGTTCTTGGCCATGGCATCTTCCAAAATAGCAACTGCAAGAGCAGCACGATCTCTGGTTTCGTCATCTTCATCTATGAGACTGCGCTTCAGCAAGACCATGAGAGAAGTTCTCAAAGATGGGCACTGTGCCGCAAACTTGGAAAGAGCCGTGACAGCAGCGGCACGGACGGCAGAGTTTTCCAAAATGACTCGATTGTAAATGAAACGAATGTAACGAGCAGGAGCTGTAGTTTTGGGTCCCAGTTCTCCAAGCAAATGCAAAATCTGTGTGGATAGTTGAGTGAATTCACAATCCTCAATGAATTCGCAAAGGTGCAACAAGGAAGATTCCGTGGTTTCGGGAACAGCGTGAATCAAAGAAACAATCGAGTTGACAATGCTCCTTTTGAAATCAAATCCACCCTCTTCTCTCAAAAAGTTGGACAAGAATCCAACCAAGATACGGTGCTTTGCGGGGTAAGTGAGGCACAATTTTTGGAGGGAATGCACGACAGTAATCTTGAATTCATCGGCAATTTCGGTAAGGAATGAAGAGATTTGCTTCAATAGACGATCGATCGAGTTTTCGCTTCCAGTCTTGAGCAAGGTGGTAATTGCCAAAGTGGCAATGGAACGGTTGGAGTCGGCAATGAGTGCCTCCAAGTCTTCGTTGCACTTGGCAACTACACGTGGGTGGGTGTTGGCAATGGCAGCCAATGTCTTCATGGAAGCATATCTTGTAGCAGGCTTGGGAGAGCTCAAGAATAGTTGCAAGACAGAAATTGCAGGAGACAAATCTTGTGGTTCCAGGCCCTCTAGAGAACAGATTGACCGGGCGGCTTCGTAGACCACCAATTCGGACTTGTGTCTAAGACTGGCTTCCAGGAATTGGTATCCCTGTTTGGCAACTTGAGATCCATCTTGGATGGAACCAGAGATACGCCCCTCGGCATACTCGTCCTTGAGAAGTTTGGCGGTATAACGGACCAGCAAGACCAATGCAAGTGGAGATCGAAGGGTATTGCGAGTGCTGAATTGAGAGACCAACTTGGAAATACCGAGACGATCGTGTGACTTGATTTGGTAGAGCAATTGCATGGCATGGAATTGCACCATTTCGTTGGGAGAGGATGTGGCCTCTTGTACTTCGCTGATCCATCGTCGAACGACAGCTGCGCACTCGGGAGAAGACGTAAAAAGATGAGATGCCGAAACAAGGGCCGCACTCGCGACTTGCCCCGAGGAATCTACTACAGCTTGCTTGACGTATCGCTCAATGGCTCCCAGCATGGCAGCATCTACAATTCGAACCAACACACGCAATGCATTCCCTCTGTAGAGATCGACATCGCAAGTCATATCCTTGGTCAAACAAGATGTGACAATAATGACATCATCTGGATCACAGGTTTCTGCTACATCCTTGATGAACAAGTAAACCATACGTCTCAGGGAGGCATCGTCACTCATGAAGAGTTTGGTAACACCAAAGAAAACTTCGGTAGCTTCAGTCGAAGTCATGTATTGTCCAGTGTTTTGAAGGTGCAATAGTTGGGCAATCACAGTGCAGCATTTGCGTGGATTCTCACGCACAGCCGTAGGATCATGGAAAATCCTAGTGTCGATATGGACAAGGTCATTGTCAAGATTATTCATGAGACATGCCTTTATTTTCAAAAACAAAACAACATCAAGCGATTTGCAAGAGAAAAAACTCACCTAGCTTCTTGCAACACTTGGGCTTTTTCCAAATGAGCATAGGGTGAAACGTATGCCTCTTCCTCCTCGTCCTTGAACTTTTCTGCGAGTTCCTGGACTTCCCTCATTACGGACCCCATGCCCAGACTATCTTGTTGTTGGCCCTCCATTTTGCTTCTTCAAGGGAAATCTACAGTAAAACAACGATCCCTTTTTTTATTCTCACTAGTAATGCCAATGGCAACGGCCGATGGTTTCGGTGTTTGTCTTGCAGGTCAGTAGTAGTCATTGCAAATTGAACGATGATTCGTGTCGCTGTCCAAATGATTCACGGGATTTGTGGATGTACGAGACTACCACGATCTGAGATAGGATCTGAGATAGCGGGGATCATTGGGTGGAGACTGATGGAACCGGGTTCCAAGTAGTCGGCGGCTACTTGCAATCGAACCAATCTAATCAATCGAACTTGTTGAACATGCAATTTTCCTTGCCATTGCACAATACCCAACATCATCGATCCACTTCTTTGACGCTTGCTCATGACACTGCAGTACAACATCTATCGTGTTTCATTCTTCCTCCTTATCCTTCTATCAGTTGCTGCTTCCATGACTGCAAATTCCCCGAACAAAGCTACCATTCCAACATTATCAAACGGCGACATGAGATTTGGAAGATTTCACATTCCGGCCAATCACATCTTTCTTCGGACCGCCAAGAGCGCTGCCTTTGTCAATTTGAGGCCTATTGTTCCGGGACATGTGCTAGTCATGCCGGAAACCATTGTTCCCACCATGGCGGAATTGTCGACGGAAGAATATACCGATTTGTGGTTGGCCGTCCGACAAGTCCAAGCCGCACTCGCCACGGAATTCCAAGTGGATGCCTTCAATGTGGCCGTCCAAGATGGCCGAGCCGCAGGACAATCAGTCCCACATGTCCACGTACATATACTGCCCCGCAAGAGTGGAGATTTTGAACGCAATGACGATGTCTATGAAGAATTGGATGCCTGGGTCCCAAAAGAGGGCATACTCAAGGAAAAGGGGACAATTGATGTGCCGGATGATGAGGATCGAGAGGACCGAACGCTGGAAACCATGGCGGCGGAAGCTGCCATATACAAACGAATATTAGGAGGTCTTGATCACGACGCCAAGCTATAAAACATTATAACGGATGGGGTAGATATTTAAAAATGGTTGATTGACTCACTCTTCGTCTTGTTCTTGTCAACTCGTATTCTTCCTTGCTTTCATCATTATGAACTTTGTCGCCAAAGCCAAGCAACCTTGTCTGGTGTTGAAATGATTACCTTGCATTCATTCGGAGCAGGCTTTTGGCGTTTTCTACCGAACAGCAATTGGCGAGGACCAAGTAGAATGGTTTCAAAAAATGAACCATCATCTGACAGTGCTTGCCTGTCATGATCATGATGAGGATTATATAGAGAATGCTTGTACTGTAGATGTTTATAGACATTGGATTCTTATGACGACGATGATAACCATAATCATCGTCATCCGTCTCATTTTTAATCCCTAGTTGTCTTTTTACAGTTTTACTTTCTTGTTCTATGCAGTTGTTTTCCAAAACACAATTGATTATTGTTTTGCATTTCTACTTCTTTTTTTAAGGATTCTGTTCGGACACTCGTCGTTGATCACTGGACTGCCCAAACTCCCATTCTTGTCGACAGTAGGGACAGGTCGTCCGCTGGGAATTCAACCAAGTGGCAACGCATTGCAAATGAAAGGCTGTGCACGTGTATGTATGTATGTATATGGGACATTATTGTGGCGTATTGTTTGTTGTAGAATAGAAATGTGTATGTGAATAGATATAAAGAGAATAGAGTGAGATTGATAATCTAATGACAGGGGGGATTCCAACACAGACAGCATTACCGTATACATCCCAAAAGACGTACCATGCCCACATTTCCCAAAGACGACTGGACACTCGTCTCCTGGATATTTGGCACCCGGCGCCACTCCTTCAAAGGGTGACTGACAAATACCACAAACTTCATCCTCACTCCCAGCATTCCAAGTCCATTTGGCCACTCCATGAAAGCGTTTTATGCGCACTCGTAAGCGACTTCTGGTTGATGGCGTCGTGTTTGAAAATTGCATTGCCTGTTGTTGTTGTCGTTGTTGTTGTGGTACAATAACTGCTGTATCGCTTTGTCGTTTTCGAGATTCCATACTATAGATATAACTGTTGGTTTCTATCGCAATGGTGATGAGCAAGTATATGGTCTGTGATTCATTCACAGGAACAAGTTGTTGTCAATCAATTGTTTTGATCATCGAAATTGAAAATAAGCAACATAACAATGCGGTTTTGATGAGGATGATGAGTTTTCATTTGGGGGAAACTGACAGATGCCATGAAAAGGGGAGTGATAATTGGGGAGAGTGTCACCATCATATAAAAAATGCGAGCGTTCTTCCACACAAGTTCAAGTTTCCCTCGTTCTTCGCCTTCTTTCCACGACGGAGTAGAAAAATCACACGCCGTACGGTATCTTGCTGTCACAACACCACACACAGCAGGCCAGCAGCAACAACAATGAAAACAACATCAAATCATAATCACAATCACATCCCAACGATAACAACAACAACAACAACAACAAGAGGCTTAAGGAACACCATGATTCTGTCACTCCAACTATTGACCTTCCTTGTCATCTTGAAGACGGGAGAATCCTTTGTTGTCCACCAATCATCCCCTTCTCCTCCACCTGACATCACCACGAGGATGAGAACCCCATCTTTTTCATCGTCATCGTCATCTTCGTCTCTTTCGTATGCACGTCATTCCAACACTGAGGATCCAGAGGAAATGCGCAAAGAGATTGCAGCATTGCGAGAGGAAGCCTTGCAGAAATTACACGTCTTGCAGGAACGAATAGATAACGTTGAATTGGTGGAAGTCGAAGAAGAAGAAGAAGAAAAGGTGCAGCATGATGAGACTTCTACTACTGCTACTGCTACTATTACTTCTGCAGCAACAGCATTGGACCATCATGTGGAAGAGGCATCCTTTCCAAAGTCTGGAGACGAAGTAATATTGGATTTTATGGAACGTGAACGAGCTGCATTGGAAGAGACCAACAGCATGGTCGGTTCGGAAACATCATTGGCTTCAGATTCCGCTACAATCACTAGCACTGAAACTTCTAGCACTTTAACAACATCATCAGCATCATCACCAGATGCTGTTCCCACTCAAGCCGAAGCCCTCCGTCGATTGGATGACACTCGATGGCGGGTAATGCTCAACATTGGTCGGGAACCAGGAACCTGGATGCCCAATGAGTGGGGCGCCAGTGGGGATCGACTCCATTTGCATTTGGAACTGGAATTCTCTTCCGACGCACTCCTCATGGACGAAGGAGAAGGAGAAGAAGACGTCAAGGGCAAAAAAGGCAAACATGGAAACAAGCACAAGAAAAACTTGAATTATCCTGGAGATGATTTTTTGAATGGCCGATCCTATACCAAGGTACTCAAAGTGGTACAAAATGAGGCCAGCATGTCTCCCACCATGACGGAAGGGGCTCGCAAGGTCCGCGTCCATAATGGTGCCTGGAGGGTGGCACCCTTTGAAGGACCCATGGGCACAACCGTCCTACGCTTCTATGTCGAATTGGAAGAACAGGCATCGCACGGTGACAGTGACGTTTGGTGTCCCGCGGGACGAGTCTATTGCACGTGTGGATACTTTCCAATGTACCACGATCCCATTACCGGACTCGTGTCGACTTGTTCCCTGCCATCTACTATTGGTAGCAGCAAGAACAAGAACAAGGAGGATGCTGTTGTGTTGCCAGTATCCTGTCTCAAAGCAGCCCTCAAAGAGGAACAGGAGCAAATTGCCTCGTATTACGAAGCTTTGGCCCGGGCCAACCACGAGGATCCAGCTATTTTCAGCTGGGACAAGCTGAAGCGATCCAGCCAAATGATGAAACTCAAGCAAGATGCCACCAAATTGGCCCACAAACGGCACGAACTCAACATTCGGGAACCAGACAAGAACGTCTTGAGATTGTCCCAAGACCAGCAAGTCGGGATCACACGAGAAGGTGGGGTTTGTTGCAAGGTTCACAAGGGATTGGCGGTGGAATATCACATGCTGGGCAAATTTGAAATTGCGTCCATGAAAAATCGAGACCACAAGGATTATCGAGAACTCTTGATGCCATAAATAAATAGTGGAAAAGAAGAAAAAAGAGAGAGAGCAAGAAAACGCGCTGTAGACGACACCAATGAAATAGAATAGAACCGAATGAATATTCAGTGCATCCTTCATGATATATTTACATACTACAAATCATATATTACAGATACATCTCTAATACTAGTCCTTCGTATTGACTACATTCACGGAACTTCGGCTGAAGAAGATAGTGTCACTGCTGCGTCTTCTTTTCAGCATGCGCTTTCAATGCCGCAGCCTGTGCCTGAAATCCCTCTTGGACATCCTTAAGTGGAACAAACTTGGCCAAACACCCGTGAAATCGCTCTTCGGTACGATATTTGGTTTGGTCTGTTCCATCACCAATAATCTCGGTCAATTGTTGGGTCCGCGTGGCTCGGATCAGATTCCACGAATGTAACCAGCCCATAAATTGATACTTCCACAAGGCTGATTTTGAATTGCTTCTGCTGCTGCTGCTGCTGCTGCTGCTGCTGCTTATTGGTGGGTCCAGAACCGTTATCGTTTCCTTCGACTTGATGATTTTGCCAGATTTCTGGTGTTTGGGAAAGACAACGTTGAGTGTCATGAAAGTACCTTGTTTCATGGACTGCTCTTGACAATCTACTGAAACGACGAACGGATTCCATTCGCTGTAGTTGTGGACATTGGTCATGATCTCCCAGACAACCTCGATTGGGGCGTCAATGATCACTTCAGTTTATGCCATGATGGGGTGATGGTTGCTGCTACTAGGACTACTGTCATGGTCATTGGTGTAAGCCATTTTCAATAGTACGAATTGTGTGATATACAGTCGTAAATTCCTTGAACACAGCTTTGTACAATAATAATATACTGTAAGTGCGCAAGGATTATGGAAGGATGCATGATTGAGATGGCGATGATAATCGACAGTGTTTAAATTGTACAGTCACGTTCGTGACTCAAGAGTCTTGCGTCGCCCGTTCTCTCTTTGACCAAGCAAAATACAGTACACATCATCACAATCTTCATCGTTATTTCTTCGAGTGCAACCACGAAGGATAGTCAAAGTCAATAATACCTATATCCATCAGTATCCATCACAACATGTCAGAACGACGAGCCCCACCACCCCAACTCCACTTTGACGATGGTTCCCGCATCATGACCGAAGCAGAAGAATCTTCTGCTGCTGTTGAAGCTTTGATTGGCAGTATTCGGGGACCCCAAACTTCCTTGGAATCCTTTTACGACATAGAGCGAGTATGTCAAGATGTGGTGGATCTCATGCTGCCCAACATACAATCTACCGATAACACCAGTGATAACGAGGAGGAGGATACGGCAAAGCAATCACCAGAAGAAGAATCTCCATTATGGCGTATTGCCGTCCAATTTCCAGATTCTTTACTGAACGACAGTCCCGAAGTGTGTTGGTTGCTGGAAGAAAAGATCACAAACATGCAACAAGATCGACTCCAAAGTATGCAAGCGTCAGGAATGTATGATGCCGTCCCAAACTTTAAAATCCCACTAGTCTTTTGCTTGGGAGATACGACCATGGGATCTTCGGTTCCTGACGAAGTAGCGGCCTTGCATTTGAATGCCGACGTCTTGATTCACTTTGGACATGCCTCCCTCTTCCCAACGGAACGATTGCCCGTCATTTACAGTTTTGGCAAGGTCGAAATGGACGTGACCAAGGCTGTAGAGTCAGTCATTCAACAACAACAACAACAAGAAGAAGATGGAGATAATGGCAAACGAAAACTCTTGTTACTCTACCAAGTGGGATATCACCATGCCATGAAAGACTTCGAAACAAAATTGTGTGAACAAAGCAAAAACACAGAGATTGTGGTTGGACAGCTACCCAAGCCCAGACTGCAAAGCGGAAAGCTACGTAGTAGAACAGCTGCAGCTGAATCCACTTGTTGCAAGTCAAATGGGCAAGAAGCATCTTGTCAATCCCCGGCTACATGTGGGGACGACAGCAACAAAGTATCATGTGATCAACAATCCAATAATAATAATGACGACAAGCCACAAACACCAATATCCGAAACGGCAGCACAGGTAGCGCCTTTAGCAACGGATGAGGGACCAAAGTTTCGACAATCGCTCCTTCTCGGAGGGCTAGAATTGCCCGATCATATCAAGTCATGGGACGATCTTTCAGACTACACCATTCTGTTCATTGGGGATTCCGAATCGACCAGTGAACGTCAATACACCAATATCATGCTTCGGTTTTTGTCATTGCCGGCGCCTCCCCAAGCCTATTGGACTTATTCCCCCAAGAGCATGTCCTTATCCATCGACCTTCCCATGTCGTTGAATCGACAATTGAAAAGACGCTTCTTTTTGAGTCAAAAGGCTCGAGACGCCCACGTCTTTGGCATTTTGGTAGCCAACTTATCGCAACAGCACTTGGTGGACGTGGTCAAGAGCCTCAAACGAATCATTCACGATGCGGGCAAGGCTTCCTACAGCTTTGCCGTCGGCAAGATCAATCCTGCCAAATTGGCCAACTTTGCCGAGATTGAATGCTTTGTGCTGGTGGCCTGCCCGGAACATTCGCTCTTGCAGGACGAACGAGAATATCACGTACCGATCATTACGCCATTGGAATTGGAAATTGCCTTGGGTCACTTTTCATGGGGCGAAAAGGCGTACAGTTTGGATTGTCAAGATGTCTTGGAATACTTGCCACCGAAAGAAGAATCCTCCTCCAAGGCAACGAAAGCAGATGGTGACGGCCAAGACGGGGATGAAACAGACGAGGACGAGGATGCTCCCTACTTTTCGTTGGTGACGGGAACCTACGTTCAAAAGGCTTCCAAGGACAACGCGGCGCTCGATTTGGAAGCCTTGCCCGGCAAGGGACAAGTGACAGCCTACAATAGCGAAGCTGCCAACTTTTTGAAACAACGAGAATATCAAGGTTTGGAAACTTTGGCGGGCCAAACCGAAGTCAAGCCGGCGACGGAAGGCCAGCGGGGTATCGCCTCGAATTACGAAGGAAGCTAATATCACTCTAGTATTTTTTTAAACTTGAATCAGAACAAAATGGAATACACACACTGAAAAGTTCTAGCATGTTATATGTACTCTAAAATATCGGTGGAACAATTCTTCTGGTGTTCTAGGAATTTAGGAAGTCGAGAGAGTCTCTTCCGCAGGAACTTCTTCTGTGCTGTCAAGATCGACAGTCGATGGAGTTTCTTCCTTGCGCAAATTGGGAATGCCAAGGAATCGTTGGATGATGCGACGTTGCTCTTCCATGGAGGGTAGAACCGGAAGTATATCGTAGTGCTCAAGAAAATTTCTCATTTCCAATTCCGTCATTTGCGAGAGAGCTTCTGGCGTGGAAGGAAAAGACTCGGCCACTTCCCAGTTGTGGTTCCAGCATTCGTAGACCGGCTCGGTCCGTTTGGAAATACCTCCATTAAGCTGTCGAGCAATCAAATTGCTCAATCGATAGCTCATGCTATACTGGTACTTTTCCACTCGGGTCAATTGGTCGGCCATGTCACTTGCCTGAGTCTCCACCTTGTTGAGCTGGGCAATGACTTCCAATTGCTGTTTTTCGATTCTATGGAGACGATTTTCAATGTGGTATAGTCGTAGCTCCTGGCTCTTATGTAGAGCTTCAACAGCTGTAAGCCTGGTGTCTGCCCTATATCGCTGCCTGACCATAGTTTGGAGCTGGGTTTGAATGGGTCCCATGAGACTCGTCATTGCTGGCCAAAACCAATCGGGAGGTTTGGCAGTGTCAGGGGGGCCAGTTGCAAGGTCAACAATGGCATTGGCAGCGACGGCTTCGTTTTCCTTTTCATGCAGATGATCTGAGAACTTTACGCGTTTCTGATCATTGGTAGCAGTGCCACCTGCGTGATGGATTCGTTTGGAATTCTTCTTTGGTTTGGCCACCACGGGACCATTGTTGTTCTTTTGTGAAACAGCCCTGTTGTTCGAAGCCATATTTTTCATGTAGTTCCTATTTTCTACTCTATCTATACCTTTGGAAAGCGCTGTCGACTTTTGTGCAATCTGGAATAGAGAGCCGAGAACGAAGAACTACGATGGTTTTCAACACAAAAATAATGCAAGATCTCGTTCCGAGGAAATATGAATTTTGATGGTCAAACTGGATCGACTCGTTCGACCAAAGACGAAGTTAAACTAACACCAAAAATAGTGAAATGGTAAGAGCTAGTACAAAAGGCAGAATTGGACTCGGAATGGAATGGAATGGAATAGAAATGGAACTTACAAGCAAACGCTAAAATCCGACACAATGACAACAAAGATCAAAATCCAGCAGGGCGAATACCAATGAATCGTTGGATGGCCAGACGCCTCTCGTTCAAGGGTGGAACTGGAAGGAGGTTGTAGTGCTCCAAAAAGCGAGTCATATCCTCTACGTTCATGAGAAAGACAGCCTCAAACATCTTGGGACCTCGAGCTGAGAATTCCACAACTCGAATAGCCGATCATTCATTTTTGGAGGCGTGCAAATTGCCTTGCCTGGCTTCCACATTGTGAAGTCGATAGGCCATGTTGCGCTGAGAATCTTCGGTTCAGACCTAGCGAGTTGCCACAGTCTGAATACGACAGTCAGTATTGCGCTGGAAAGACTTGTCTATACTTGTGCAACGAAGGAGATCAAGCCCTCTTTTTCGGAGGTATCGTACAGGGCGAAAGAAGAAACAAACATTGGACGACTTGCTCATTTTTTTGTAACGCAACTGAGCTAGGTTTGCATCAAACCAAGGTAAAACAATGGTGTTACGTCTTTAGGACAAGAGTATAGTTTACCAAGAGTATAGAGTTTACGTGTTACGAGCCAAAAGATACTTTATCCCGTCCCTCCGGCGTACGTCAGATGATTCAGTCAGACGAGTCGCAGTCACCGCGTTTCCATCGAATAAAATGAAACCAAAAACACGTTTGCACCTCACATGAATTCAACACAACAAAACATCAGCTTCTTATCGGATCCAGACCGATTTCTCATACTACAACGAGGAAGAAATAGTCTTGATTGAACCTTATCAAACTAAAAGATGGGTCGAGAAAAACGAAAGACAAGACTGAACAAGGGAGAAAGCGGAGAATTTCTGGGTTTTGCAGCCTTTGCTGCACCTGCAGCAGCTCCTTCTGCCACCAAGGGAGCGTCGCCATCAGCTCCCTCATTGACGATATCACCGATATATACGGGATCCGACAGTTATCTATCCTTGATATTTCCACGCATTGGTCAAAAACGAGATGCTACTACCAAAGCCAAAGCAGTGGGAGATTTGAAGGCTTTCTTTGCCGACGATTGCAAGCCAAAAAAGGCAAAAGTCGAAGCATTGAGTCATTTTTGCTATCTATTTCATTCCAAACTACATTACGATAATACGCCCCGAGTACGAGCTAGTTGCTTGGAGTGTTTCCTACCAGCTGCCGAATCCGTCCCCAAAGCATGGAAGACACTGACCGAAATCCAACCAGAAATCCTCGGCATCATTCTATGCAGTATGGCCGATCCAGGAACTGAGGTGCGAATGGCGGCAAATGCCTTGGTAGAAAGTCTAGAGGCGTCAGATCCAAACAACTTTACGGAGGGAACCTGGGATTATGTCGAACGGATACTCTCCTATGGAAGTTCTAAAGCCATGTCCGAAGAGTTGTTCCAAAAAGGGAAAGATTCTGCTTCGGCTGATCAAAAGGAAGAATTGGAGGAACGATACGAAAGAATCGTTGGGACTGCAATTGGAGGAATGCAACTCTACTTGCAAAAATATCATTCCGATACTGCTCCGACAACAAGAGCCAATGTCAAGTTTTTATGGAAGGCCATGTCCAGCAACAAACCATCCCTTCGACAGCGAACCTTTTCACTGCTTTCGACGAGTTTTCAAAAGGCGCCTTCTTTGGTGGACAATGATAAGATTTCCAAAATGCTCTTGCAGACGCTTTCGGCCGAGAAGGAAGCCTCGAATATCCCATCCCTTTTGGAGACCTTAATTTCCTTTGTTGCCTCATATCCACAAGAAGAACGATCGAGTACCATGTCCTTGTATACCAAACCATTGACGAAACTTTTCAAAAAAGGATGTCTCGGAGCTAGCCGCTGGTCTCCCACCGTCTTGCCCATTGTGGCACTACTTCCACAAGAGGAACAAGCCTCGCTGTTGACTTGTGTATGGGAAGGCCGGGTGAATGTGGCGGGTTTGGCCGAAGAGCTGGAAGTAGTGGGAGCCGTTGCCGAAACGGCCACCTTTTTGCTGTTAAAGGCAAGTCATGTTTTTTCCGAGATCATTGCCAAGTGCTGGTTGTATTCTCTTCAGACCTTTTTGACGACCGAAGGGAGCGGACCGGCCAGGCGATCACTCGACAAGCTGTGCGAAATTCTCGCGAGGGATTGGATGCAATTGAATCAGGCATCTCAGAGCAAGGAAACTTCTGCCATCTTTCAATTGAAGGATTGGTTCTGGAATCAAGAATTGGAAAAGGTTGTCCTCGAAGACAATGTAAACAATGGACAAATGCTTTCGCTCATTCAATTGCTTGCAGTCAAGGAGGCGTCCGAAGCTAATCAATGGGCTCACATTATTCAAAAGAAATTTCATAAAGTGTTGGCTACTTGCCAGGGAAATTCGGGCTTGGTTCCGGCAATGGACGTTTACGAATTATGGATTGCTATTTTGGAGAAGCTTTCCGTGGACCATGTTTTTGACAAGCCTAAATTGGACAAATTTGTCATGAACGATCTCTTGCGGTGGATGGTCATCCATACCAGTTCGGTTTCGGAACAGGCCGATGCCAACTTGACTAGGTGCGATTTCACCTTGTATCGACTATGCCGGTCCATGACCAATGACGGTGTCTGGAACACACTCCTAAAGGAATTAGTTGCGGCCAAGTGCGACTTGTCGTACTTGCAAGTTGGCTTGGAAACTGTGCTGCAGGCACAAGGATCAGCCGATCTTTTCCCGTGTTTGACTTTGGACGAGCTGTGCGTCCAAGTGGCCCAAGAAGCAGTCCATCCTTTGGAGCTTGCTCTGGACTTTAGTGTGGCTAGTGACCTTTCGGCCGAGCACAACCAAAAGGTTTCGAATTTCTTGAAGGTGTGCCTTGGGCTTGGCAAGTATGACAACTTATTGGAAAGGACGTCGATCGAATCGATGGTGAAGTATGCCTGTCCAGAGGATTACTTGATTTCCATGGAGGATAATCCTGTTTTGGAGACTCTTGTTCAGATGATAATTGCTGGCCGTCTTGGCGCTCAAGACGAGAAGTCTATCCTGGTACAAAGCTGGCGACAAGGAGGAGACTTGTGGGAAAGCGAAGCGATCCCCTTCGTCGCAGACAAGGAGTCACACTTGGTCTCCTTGATCGAATTGGCGTCCACCGAAACCAAGGCAATGTTGAATCAAGTATCATCTGAGCATCTTTCTCATGTCTGGTCTGAGAGAGCCAACCGTCTTCTAGGACTGTGCCGAATCGAGAGCGAAGCGACACTACCAGCACCCGATCTTTCACTTGTTGGGTTGTCAGACCAATCGAAGTGGTCCAGCGAACCAAGTCCCTTCCTGTCCATGTCTTTGATGAATCTCTTGTCGCAGATGGAATCCAAAGAGAACAAACGATTGCTATTCTCTAATTTCCAAGGTTCCGTTTTGGAGCCGTTTTTGGACATTTTGCTGAGCTTGTCGAGCGCCAACAGCGATATTCTCAAGGCAGATTTTGCAAGACGGCGAACAGACACGTGTTCTGCACTGTTGCAAGCAATTGATACAGCTTCCATAGAGAATTCACAATTGGATGAATGGTGCGACAAGCTTATTTCTCTCCTGGCATCTTTGTTTGACAAAGGGGACGAGCTGCGATGTTGCCGGGGCGTTGCAGTGCTTTCGCAGTTGGTCGAATTTCGATTCCGTACGATTCGCCCAGTGGAATCCACCACAGACGACCAGTTGCAGATTCATCAAATTGTAAAGGGTGACACTGTATGGTACATTGTGCAGTCTGAGGATCCTTCTATCAGGGAGAAATGCACTATCGTCAAGGTTCACAACGATTTGCCGGGTGAAAGGTATTTTACAATTCGTTTGAATCGCGACGGGGAAGACCAAGAGCGCCAAACGGTCGTGGACAGGCTCCGAAAAGCACCATTTGCTGCAGGCGAGGCAAGTGCTGCTGCAGTGTATGCTAAAGACATTTCGAAGGAAGAGAGTATGGAGCGTGGCAAACTACTAAAGCTCATTCTTGATCAACTAATCGTTCCAAATTGGGAGAAGTGGCCTACCGAATGTTTCGAGTTGGTTAGTATTGCGATTTCACAGTGCGGACTACTCGGGGGACGAGGAATCGGAACAGATCATCACATGATTCTTCAAAAATTAATGAAGATTCAAAGTGACAATCTTGTTACATTAGAGGGGTTGTCATCTGACAACGTTGACAAGGTTGCATCTGCGATGCAAAGCCTTTCATATTCCCTGGGATACGGCAAGAATGTTCCAAAATTGCAGAGTCTGAATCTCGTTGGATTTAGTCCAGTTAGCTCCATGAAATCCATCGTTGGCTACCTTGATGAGAACGAGGCAGAGGTCGAAGAGGAATTTGATTCGGCTGCTGCAATGTGGCTAAGCGTCTCAGCCCCAGAGGTTTCTGACAAAGATCTGCGACAGCAAGTGTTTTGGCACCTCTATCGTCTGTCGGCTCGACTAATTCAGAGCGAGGGGAGCGATGAATTCAGTTCGCGTGATTTCGTGGCGCTACGGGCCATTGCAATAGCACAGAAGGAAAACCACAAATCAAGGGCAGGTGTTTCTCTGCTCGATGATTCTGAAGCAGAAGCATTGTCCGCGCTCATCAAGTCCTTCTTCTGTCAGTGGGATTCCGAAAGCCAAAATGGTTTGCCGCTTTGGAGTTCCAGCAAAATTTTCGACAATGTCTTCAGCGATGGTCTCAGAAACCGAAGCTCTCTCATGGGTCATGCTTGCCGTCCGTGTGTCGACGACGTTGTACATTCCTTATCCAAAGAAAGCAAAAGGGTATACGCTGCCAAGCTTTTGAAAGCATTTGCAGATAAAGGAGTGCCGCTTCATGCTGAACCCACTGCCCCTAATAGTACTACCGCGTCCAAGCTTGACCAATGGTGCTCTGATCTCATTGATGAAGAGATCGAAGAGCTGGAAGATGATATCGATGCAGTTGCACAATGGGTGCCAGCAAAAATGATGAACGAGGTCGAGAGCTGGTACGAACAGACAGAGGGGGGCAATGTTGCCACGCCCGCAGACGGAGACTCGGCCGTGTATGTTGTCGATGATGCCACTGCATGTGCCCGAATGCTCACTTGGAATTCGTTATGCGAGATCACCAAGGTTGCTGCTGAAAAAAATTCGGTGAATCGGTCGTCGTTCGCTGCCTACATTACCAAGTGCAAGGCCGTCGACTCCATTTTGAATCTTGCTTTGTCGTATGGCAACGTCGGAACGGATAGAAAAATGAAATTTGAGAAGGTTAAAGATGCCAACACAATCCTAGAGTCGGGAACCGAGATCAATCTTGCCCAATTGTCAGCACTAACCATTTTCAACACCATTGAGGTCTTTCCCTCGGTTTCCAAGACTTGGTGGGAGATGGGCTGCCCGAAATTTGCTACACAAGCTATTCGCGAGTTTGTGGAAACAAATGTCTCACCAGAGATACTTCGCAACGAACTCCAACATATGAAACAGACATCATCTTTTGGCAACATGAACGTCAAGGGGAGCGCCATCAGTCGGGAGGTAACGGCGTCGTACGTCCAGGACGATTTCACCCTTTCTGTCGCTATTGCAACGCCCATTTCCTTTCCATTCAGGAGTGCCGTGGTCGACTGCTCGAAAACTTATGGTGTGCCAGAGAAGAGGTGGAAGCGATGGGCACTACAAATCACTCAGATTCTGAACACTCAAGGTGGAACGCTGGGTGACGCCCTGATGTTGTGGAAGGACAACGTGGACAAGGAATTCGAAGGGGTCGAACCTTGTCCCGTTTGTTATTCCGTTCTTCATGTCAAGACGCACAAACAACCCACTGTGGAATGCAATACATGCCACAATCGCTTCCACATCGAATGTTTGTCCCAATGGTTCCGGCAAAGTGGCAAGAGAAATTGTGTCATCTGCCAGCAGCCATGGAGCGGGACTCGGGTGTCATAGTTGTTTTCTTAGGATCATCAATAGTGTACACTAGTGCTAACTTAATTTGGCTGGCTACGTATCTATGATTGGATGGTGGATAGGTACGAGTACTCATGATCATGACTGATTTATTCATATCATTCAATCGTATTCTTGCTTTGACCAGTATGACTGCTTGGACACATCATCAAAGTGGGATGACGACAACACAAAAAACTAAGAACGACTGATGATGATTGATACTTGATTCACTGCCGTTCTCATAACATTTGCATGTTTGCAAGCAACAACTGTCAACTTTATCCTTTCACATTTGACTATGAAGTTCTACACGAAGCATACTCATATGACAATCGCCTGTTTGCTCCTTTTGAGTAATATTACATGCTTCGCATTTTCCAACAAAGTATCATCAAGTTCTACTAGACGACTCTCACAACGCACAAATAGTGTGTTAGTCAAGGCCACAACATCCGAAGCTGGTCAACGAAAACCATGGGAATTTTTTCGCTTTGTCCGCCAATCTTCTAAATTCATCAATGTTCTTCCCCGAAAAACGTCCAAACGAGTTGTCCAAGCAGGGGATCTCTTGTGGACCCCCGTCGACACCAACAAGAGCTTTGATTTTGCGCCTTTGGACGATGTGGTCATGGGTGGGGCATCCTCTTCCACATTTGATGGAGCAACAGGAAAGTGGGTTGGTCAAGTGACAGATGCCAACAGTGGTGGATTCATTGGCATTCGATCCACACCAGGCGTCGATTTGGACATGAGCCAGTGCAAGGGCATTGAAGTCAAACTATCGAACTTGAACAAGAATCAAAAGTCACTTCGACTCAAGGTTGTGATGCGAGACTCGACGGAATTCAATGGAATCGCTTGGACGACTAGCAAGAGTTTATCGGGACGAAGCCTGAAGATTCCCTTTGATCAGCAGGCACCAACACTGTTCGCAAAGACTGTCGAATCAGAGCCCTTTCAAAAGGATCAAGTCAAAACTATCCAGCTGGTCTATTCCAAGTTTGAATACGACGGTGCATTGAACCCAACCTTTGTGACTGGCGACTTTGCCTTGCAGGTAGAAGAGATTCGAGCCTATTGAAGTCGTCCTAGAACCTCCTTTTAGAGGCGAAGAAGGAGATAATATCGATTAGATCTATTATATTTCAATCCCATTGATTTGACCTTTTCATGAATTGAAAGTATGAAGTTCTCTCCTCCAGCACTCCTGTCGTGTTTGCGAAACTTCTTCAGTACTATGCAAGATGTCTGAAAGGTACCGGAGTACCTACCGTACTGTAGCAGACAGTTGCAATGCCCTTATCAGAATTGGGGTTATTAGTACGCACTAGATAGAGCAATTTTGCTCACACTATGCCTGGTGCCTGGTGCCTGGTACAAGTACAGCATGTTCTGTACTGGATGATGATGCGTCAGCTATGGACCAACATGCCCAATCGATGCCTGTCATATAAATAATACAGCAGCATTTTGAAACCTGCCATGTACGTGTACTTCGAAGTTCCCTGACGCGGTAGTGTGGAGAACGTGTTTTGCAAAAAATACAGTTGTTCATTTTGCTTCGTTTAACCGTCAAATTTCCCGCGGCACCTATCATTTGCGCGCTTTTGGGTCAGTATTATCGGTCAGCATACAGACGTTTAGTCGTGATTAAAGGTTCCCTCAGAAACTGCCTGAGCATGTCATCGCTGAGGTCCGCTTGCCCTTCGAGCCGCAGCAATATTCCGCAATCAAACGAAACAGGGTGCTTGACAGCGTGGCAAAACTGATCCACCAGCATCGAGACCTCTGGATCGTTTTTCACTTCAGCAACCTTCTGCTTGTTGTGAATCCAATCATACAGCTTGTCAGCATCATCACCTCAACATCATTCCCTGAATTCAGCTGAAGAAATAGCATCATGTGCATGAAGAGATTCAGTTTGGTGACCTTTCTATGGCTGCTGGCAACAGTAACTGCCAGCCAATACTGCGTGGACGAGGAAGTCGCATACCTTAGAGAACAAGAAAACAATGCTCCCTCTCCAGCTCCTTCTATTTCACGGGAGTGTACTACCCAAACCTCCAATGCTCGTGGCAAATACACGTCTACGGTGTCTCCGTGCACTTTTGAATTTCATAAGGCGCAAGAGCACCAACGCGAGTTGGATTTGATAAGATTTCACACTTCAGATCTTTGCTCTTCGGAAAACTCATTCTTGACGGTCCAAGAGTATGTCGAATTCTTCCCAGATGAATGTGTTGCAGACTTCCAACGCTGTTATAGTCTGGAACATCACCGTTCCGTTATTTGGGATTTCCTCTGCACCAAAGGATGGGACATTCCCGAAGGAACAACTCATGTTTCTGTGGATTGCCAACGTGATAAGGAACTAATCATACAAGCTACCACCCACCGAAGAGAAGAAATGATTCGAGGTGAACAGCATGCTCGGGTGGAAACCTACCAGAGCAAGCTCTTCAACTTGGCAAGCATTCTGGGTGTTTGTTTGGTGGGTGTCTATGCCATTTCCAATCTAATTGTCAAGCCATTGGTGGCTTCGAGGCTGTATACTGCGGTAATGGCTGGTTCTGGTGATGGAAGCTGTAACAACAACAACAATCAAGACATTCTTCCAAGGACTATCCAACCACGCTACCAAATGCTTCACGCTGCTGGCAGTGTGGGTGGAAACAGCAGCACTCTGGATGATAGCGCTGTTATCTACGGAGGAGACCATCCTTCTCAAATCATGATTATGGGGGCCGAAGAAGACGGAGAAGGTTCCTCTGAACTGAACGAGAGTCAGCTGATGGAAGACTTCAATTCTCAAATGCCAGACTTTGATGCGGTACCCATTACCTTTGCTGCATCGCACCATGGTACTACCCATCGAGCGCATTCGGACCTCACGACGGACAGTGCCGTACTGCCAATGACACGTGCACTGTCCACAACAACAGAAGAAGAATTATCAGCTGACGAGCATCTCGAAGTCTCGATCCAAACAGCAGCTGCTTCGATCATTTCTTCCGCAAGGTCCACAAGAAGGTACAGCAGCAATGTTCCCAGAATGGAACTGGAGCTTGTTCCCATGGCGTCAGACCCAGATGACATACCGATTGTTCCAGCGACAATCCTTTACAGTTGATGATGAATATCAACTTGTCTGTGTCTGTCGCAAACTGCATAAGGATCACCACATTGGTCCTAGTGAATATATATTTCATCATGTAAACGTGTTACATAACTGTCTGTATTAAAATCGAAAGATCATATTATTGTTAATAAAGCATTGCTATTTGCTATTCTGACTATTTGCTTTTCTGAGAGCGACATCTGGCTGTTGATGTTTGTGATTATAAACCATGTCCTGAGATGGTCACTTGTTCTCTTCTCTTTGCTTCATTGGTATATCAACGAAAGGCCATCACCACTTGAGTCCGGTGCCTTCACCACTCAACACTGCCGTATTGGGATCTGCATGTTTGGCTCGTCGAGCCGTCGAGGGCTGTCGAGTGGGCCCATTAGATGATCCAGAGGCGGCGCGTCGAGCAGCCGCTGGACGCCGTCTGTGGCCATGACCACTTCCGCGAGGAATGGGATCGTCCGCTTTCTGCTCATCGTCACCTGAATGTTCATTGGGCCGAGGAGCATTTTGTCGTCTGTGGCCATGTCCACTTCCACGAGGGATGGGCTCACCACCTGGGTGCTCCTCATCTGATAGATGGGACATGCTCGGTGTGCGAGGTTGTCGTCTTCGACTGGGACCATGTCCACTTCCACGAGGGATGGGCTCACCACCTGGGTGCTCCTCATCTGGTAGATGGTTCATGCTCGGTGTGCGAGGTTGTCGTCTTCGACTGGGACCGTGCCCACTTCCACGAGGGATGGGCTCGCCACCTGGGTTCTCATCATCTGATAGATGGTTCATGCTCGGTGTGCGAGGCTGTCGTCTTCGACTGGGACCGTGCCCACTTCCACGAGGGATGGGCTCACCACCTGGGTTCTCATCATCTGATAGATGGTTCATGCTCGGTGCGCGAGGTTGTCGTCTTCGACTCGGACCATGTCCACTTCCACGAGAGATGGGCTCACCACCTGGGTTCTCATCATCTGATAGATGGGACATGCTCGGTGTGCGAGGTTGTCGTCTTCGACTCGGACCATGTCCACTTCCACGAGGTATGGGATCATCTGATTTCTCGTCACTGGATAGTTTGGACTTGCTTGGTGTGCGATGTTGCATGCTGGGTTTTCGTGGTCGACCTGGAGAAACAGCACCAGCACCAGCACCACGCTGGCGGGCACTGTTAGATTTGACCATCTCGGATCGCTTGCCCCGACGCTGTCGAACGCTGCCGCCGGCAGTGCCTCTTGGAGAAACAATCGCAGGTTGCTGCTTGCGAGGCACAGGGCTTTGCATGCCTGCAGCAGGTTTTTGTATAATGTCATCAATCTTTCCTTCCCACGAAGAATGTCCGTCTTTTTCCTTTGCCTTTTTACTCGGTACCTTTGTAGAGTGCATCATCTTTGACCGCGTGTCGCCTGTCTTATCATGGGAGTCTTTTTGCGCTTTTCTTTTTGTGTGGGAAGCATCATGGTGGTCACTGGATACTACTTGGGGTGCTTCCTTTTTTTCATCAAAATGCATTCCCATCATTATCTGTTCTAATGCCCGTGACGGTCGTTTCTCTCCAACTCCAGATGCCGCAGTCATGGATTCCATTTCTAGTTCTGTCAATTCTACCTCCTCTTCCGAACTATGGGCGAAGCTCCCGCTGCTCTCATCATCTGAGAAGTCGTGATCACCAAAATCTGCCAGATTCGCAGCAATCACGTTAGGATTGAAGTTGTGGGATTTCCGGTAGTCCATCTTGTCTTCTTCTGTCTATAGGTACTGTGGTTTTGGTTCCGGTGTGAAGCTATGGTTGGAACAAGAATACGGTACTGTACAAGCAGCCACAGAATGATACTCGTGGAGCCAAGGGAAAGAATCAATCCTTCAAGCAAGCAGGAATACCGTTTTGTTGATTTATGGGTCACACTTATTGTCGTCACTTGAAGAATAAAGACGCTATCTATGTACTTTCCTAATTTGTATCCCCCAAAGCAGGACCTCTAAACTCCGAACCCCCAATAAGTGAAAACAAAAATAGAAAATCCAACACCACAAACATCAAGGTTGTTGTTGTTGTTGTTCTCATCCTAACTTCTCTGCTTTTGGTTGACAATCAACCATTGGAATCAAATATTTCATAATCAATCCATCGATTAATATGATTACCATGGGTCAGGTGGGAAATGATTCTTCCACAATGTCTTACAAGGAGCAAAAGGAAGCCTTTGTCACCGGACATGAAGGAACGACGCCTTGGGAAGTATTGTTGGTATGCCTCTCTGCACCGATTGGCGTGGCTTGTTATCAGCAAATCATGATGATGTATCTTGGTTCAAGAGGGACGGATAAAGGCAATGGCTTATCGAGAATACAGGCAATTCTTTTGGAAGCAATCCTCGTGTGGTTTCCAATGGTCCTCTGTCAAACCAAGTTCTTGTATCCGTATGGTGTTGCATTTTTGACGATACAATCCAGCATTGTTTTAGCTCTGCGGTTTTCCAAGAAGCTACATCCACCAAACTCCAAGAACGGCACTACCGCAGCCAATGAGGAATCCAAAAAGCTCGACTTTTTGACAGCCTATCGATCCAGCATTTTGTACTTGACCTTTGTTGCTATTTTGGCCGTCGACTTTCACGTCTTTCCCCGGAGGTTTGCCAAGACGGAAGTATACGGTTACGGGTTAATGGATGTGGGAGCAGCCTCCTTTTGTCTGTCGGCAGGTCTAGTGTCACGACAGGCCAAACGACCATCCAGAAGCCAAGAAGTATCAAGACTGAATTTCAAACAAGTCTTGCACACGCTGCCGCTAGTAATTATTGGATTCCTCCGGACCTGGACCAACAAGGAACTGGACTATCAAGAACACGTATCAGAATATGGTGTGCATTGGAACTTTTTCTTTACCATGGGAGTCATGGCCATTGTACCTTCTCTGGTGCCTGCCAAGGCAAAGGGAACATGGTTTCTACCAGCAGCTATCCTTGTCGTATATCAACTTGCCTTGTCGTTTGGCAAACTACAGGAGTACATTGAAAGTGCACCACGGAAATGTGATACCAGTGATACTAATAGTTCAGAGGACTTCTGGCTGCCTTGTGTTGGCTTCTTGGCTGCCAATCGAGAGGGGATCTTTGGATGTCTGGGTTATCTATCGCTCTATTTTATTGGAGAATATGTTGGTCGTGACTTCTTATGGATACGGAAATCTCTTTGGCAACCAACCATTGGCCTATCCTTGCTTTTCTTGTTTTCCTCCCAGATGGTGGCTACGGTATCACGAAGATCTACCAACATGACCTTTTGTTTGTGGACCGCTGCGCACAATGTGCTATTGCTAACGTTATTCGAAGTGATTCTTGTGCAGAATAGGGGACTTCCAATCATCATTGAAGCTACCAATCGAGTTGGCTTGCCCATCTTTCTTATTGCCAATTTGCTTACTGGATTGGTCAACTTGACACTTCCAACTCTAACGGTGGCCGACGGACCCGCCTTGTTGATTGTGTTTGGGTATATTTGTTTGGTGAGTGTTGCTGCCCTGTTGGTGGATTGGGCAATTCAAAGTATGTTTGGGAAGGATTCCTCTGAAGCAGAAGAAATGAAGAAGGACTGAGTCAAAAGGTACCCTTTTTTGGCTATATTCCTCATCATGGTCAGAGTTATCGAAGTTTCAAGAGGCGCAGCTGCTTTCGTATGGAATGTACCAAGGATTCAAAATTATTGAAACCACATCTCCTTTCAAAGCATATGTGGCGGGGACTAGAAAATATTTCTCTGGGGCAGGCTAGGAGGCTCGTTGGCTGTTGGATCATTTGACATTGCTTTAATTGGTTGTTGAGAAATACCGTATGATGGATCAACCTATTACTCTTGGATCAACAAGGAAATAGAGATGGTCAATGGACAGACACTTCGGAAAAGATAGAATTATTGTTGATTGTATTTATTATATCTTCGATTATGGGTATACCAATAAATGTGTTCTTAGTTTTTGTATTCCAAACGGGGTCGATACAGACTGACTTCTGAATCTAGTGACTGATCTTGATCTCAGATCTCAGATCACTTATCATTGACAAGCCTGAAGTCGGGCTGCGCGTTCAAGCACAGATGAGTGCAACTGCAACTCAGTGGTGGAGAAGGTACAACAGCATGAAGCGATCATCATTTATTAGATTGAATCACATTATATCAATTAACAACTATATACAGCTTCTGCTCTTTGCCTATCATCTAGATCATCCCGTTTCGCAAAGTTTTAATACCAAGACTTGGGAACTGCTCGAGCAACAGCCATATTGTAGACTTCTTCCCACTCTTTTTTGATGGCCCTGTGTTTGTCAAGCTTAATAATACCATTGTCAACCTTGGTTCTAGGCTTTTGAAACGGCAATGGAGGTGTCTCTTGATGATAATTTGTAGGATCCCCGCTTCTTGCCTGTTGCACCAGCTTTAGCATGAGAAAGCAAGGCTTGTTGCTGGGGGTCATTTGAAGTCTGAAGGCGTCTATCAAGTACAGCAGTTCTATTTGAAGGATCCTTCATGGACTTCAAATTTGAATATTCTTGTTTGTGCTTGACATGGTAGCCCTCATATCCTTCTTCCAAGCATACTATTCCATACATTCCGTGCTCACAAAATAAATTCAGGAACGTGTCCCACCAAGTCATGAAGCTTTGGGAAGACATTACCATCGGGGAAAAGATGTCTCCAATGAAAATAAAGACTTGCAGCATACTTCTTGTTCCATTTGCGTTGAGACTTCAATGCCTTGGCCACCTTGTATAACAGTTTGACAACTAGCATGGCTTTGTCCATCAATTTTCGTATCTTTGCATGCCTGGGCAAACTTGGATCGTAAGTGCCACGGACTGCTTTATCAATGCTTTTCCATTGTCTAAGCATATCAAGGTAATCACCATTTGAGAGTTCCATCCCACCATGTTGTGCTTGGAAAGTGCAGCCAGTGTGTCGAATTGCAACACAAAAAGCGTATTGTGCTTTGCCCTTTGCTCTGTTTGAATCCTTGTAGGCATCAATTCTTTCCACAAGATGTTTACCAGTGATTCAAAGCTGATTTTGGATATTGCATGGCTGCTTTCTGGAGCTCACTTGGCACTGACGTTGGCCCTTGAGGAGAAGGCGCCTTGAGGTGATCCGGTCCCAAATGGATTGGCCTTAAGGAGACCATTCTGTCCCGCCCATCAAAAACCTCCGCAGTTCTGCTCTGCCAATTGTAGAATGGGCCTGCCTGTGGTTGATGGGTGTTGTAGTAGTAGGCCACCACCGAGTGAAAACTTTGCCTCTCCAAGCCATGGTGCTGGCTTGTTCTTGCCATTGTTTGGTTGCATACCAGGCTGACAAAGAGAGAATTCTGAGAATCTTCACTGAGCTGGAGAAGAAAGAGTCAAAGTCAAAAGTTGACAGATTGTTCGAGTTCAGACTGAAGTAAGTCTTTAACATTTACTTCTCTCTCCAACCCAAATTGCTAGTCACAAACATTGTGTTGTCAACTGTACAGTGCACTTTCCTGTCCGTGGCCACGCAGTTAGGTCGCTTCCCTTGCAGTTTCTCTGGCAGATACTTGTCATCCATGGACATCCTAGTCCACTTTTGACTACTTTTGACGTTACCGTACTCGGCTATCTTATTTTCCTTATCCACGCTAACTTTACGTGAGTCACTGCTCTTGTCTCTCGTTTGCGTGCGTCTCCTTCCCAACGGGTCCTGCAGATGAAAAAACACACCTTCCCCGCAAGCACACAGAGCGTCAGAGAGATTCCCCCAGCACTCTACTTTTCCGCTGCACGGTGCGCCACGAACGTCAGTCACATTGAACCTGTACTTTACATGTTCTCTTGTGGTGAGGTTGAGATTTCCTGCCACAGCGCACACGGCTAGTGTGGTCGCACAGGACACAATAATTGCGGTTAGTAGATGTCTCTGCTGGTATAGAGCCGGGTCCGATGAGCGGCTTGTTTTGACCGTCCTCTCCTCTGCTGTTGCGTCTCCATTCTAACTGCCTCCCTGTCCATTGATCCTTCTTCAAATGTCATCGCTATAATCTCACTTTGAATACAAAAAAAATTGTTAATGCAACAGGATCTGGAAACACTGGTTCTGTACGGGTGAAGCAGTGTGTGCAGATAAGTTGGATACTCAGTAACAACGATATTGTGTCGATGTTTGCCTGGAGCGGCCTGAAATGGCAGACTTGCTGGGAATGTCCCCAGATATGTCGTATATATTGCCTGGCAAGGTTGACAGAAACTGACGTGCCGGCGGTACCAGTACTCTGCGCAATCCAGAGCTTGGGCTTCACTGAAAACGAGCCTGGCTGCCTTAAAGATTCATTTCATTCGTGGACGTTCCGTTGAAATGGATGAACTTCGTCGAACACTTCGTCGGACTGCAAATGATGCATAATGTTGAATGTGCCGTAAAGAGTTAGAAACAAATAGAAACGAATACAAAACCTGTGAATACCTACAGTGCCGGGTACCGGTATGCATTGTCCATGAAAATGAATTCATTCGACTTCATTGACTAAGTACAGATGGACAGACATGGTCAGACGTCCACCAAAATCCGATAACATCATCTCATTTTTTCTTCCTGCAAGCATCACTTCCTGCTAGATCCTGTAGCCAAGGTCGATGGGTTCCAAGAAAAAGGCAGACAAAGCGGCCAAGAAAAAGGGCCCGAAGGGAAAGAAGGCCCGGGCCAAAGCAAAGCTCGACCGGCAGTGGGGAGAAGCTGCCATCATTGATGATGATAATACGACCAAGAGAATTGGAAACAGTCGTCTGTTGGCTCAAAAGAAGAAGTCCACGGGTGGTGTGAGCTGGGGAGGTGAAACAAAATCGGAAAGGAATAATGATGATGCCAATAGAAAATCGACTGACCCAGTCATTTCCAAAGGTATCACGAAGAAAAGTTCCACCAAATTCGAACGAAAAACGAATCGTCGTCGATACAATGATGGATCTTCGTCGTCGTCTGATGAAGCATCGGATGAGGAATCGGATGACGACAACACGACGATGAAGATCCTGATGTCTAAAATCAAGAAATCAATGGAAAAGAAGGGAAAAGTAGCCAAGAAATATATGGAGGAAGAAGAGGAGGGGGAAGATGTCGAGGACACCCCAATAGAGAAGGAGGTTTCGAGTGATGAAGAGAGCTCCGAAACCTCAGACAGTGAAAATGAGGAACACGATGATGCTGTCATGTCGGATCAAAATGAGAACGAAGGCGATGGTGATGACAACGGCCCCATTGGAAATGACGAAGATGAGTCTGTTATTGACATTTTTCGAACAAGATTCAGCCACAAGCCACTAAGTGACGAAGAAGTGGATTCAATCAGTCAGCCATCACGAGACAGTGCATCGATTGGCGTTTCCACCGAGCTTCTTCTCACACGAAAGAGCATTGGAGATGAACTCAAAGATTTCGAAACGACCGAAAAAGATCGGTCCAAATTGGACGAGCATTGGAAGAAATGTGCAATGAAAAATCTGGAGAGTAGTCGGAAAGTACTGAAACAGGGATGGAAGAAATTCAACAACAAGAAAGATTTTACACCACGACAGGCCCCTCTCTATACTGCACTTTCATCCTACGCAGATCTCTTTTCGATTACGAACTCAATGAAGGTATGTTCTTGTTTTGGATTTGCATTAGTGGATTTCGAATGGAGCGCGTCCAACCTTTGTTGTCTTGTTTCTAGGAACGTAATGAATTGCATCGAGTAAACCTGTTACATGTGCTGAACCATGTGTTGACGTCTCGAAGCCGGGTACAGAGGCACAACAAGCAACTGAAAGAGATTGAGAAGTCTGAGGACAAAGAAATGGACGATGACGACGACGATGAAAAGTTCCGTGACCAGGGGTTCACAAGACCTACTGTGCTAGTTCTACTTCCAACAAGATCAACGTGCCACAAATTTGTAGAAGGTCTGTTTCAACTGACGGGAAACAATTTGGACAATGGAATGAACGAGAGATTCGAAGGCGAGTTCGGAAATGCGACTGGCGACGACGAGTCCGATGATGACGGCGGAAATGCGAGACTAAAAGAAGTTTTGAAGAAGAAGGGAAAAGATTGGAATGAACTCTTTGGGGATGGTGTAAATCAGGATGATGACTTCAAGATCGGAATTTCCTTGACGCCAAAGGCTGCCAAGACCCAAGCTCAAAAGAAGCAGAATTCCTCCAACGTTGGAATCAAAATGTACAGTGACTTTTACAAGGGTGACATCATCATTGCATCTCCATTGGGACTGAAACTTCTCATTACACCAGAAGACGAAGAGAAAGAGGGCGATTATGACTACCTTTCCAGTATCGAAATCTGCCTGATCCAGCATGCGGATGTTCTGATGATGCAAAACTGGGACCATGTGAACGATATTCTCTCTTTGCTGAACCAAGAGCCCCAGAACATTAACAATACGGATTTTTCCAGAGTTCGCAACTACCTTTTGGAAGGACAAGGTTCTCACTGGAGGCAGCTGATTATTTCGTCGAATGTCATGGATCCTTTCTTGCAATCCGCCTTTAAGCGATATGGAAAGAGCATCAGCGGCAGCATCAAGATGCGTCGTAAGTTTGAACCTGAAGAGGCTGCCATTTCTAAGGTCTTGATTCCCATGAAACAAGTCTTTCAACGAATAGCAGCTGGATCCTTTACCGATCAAAGTTCCGCCCGAGTCGACTACTTTGTCAAATCCATTCTTCCACCAATCCTTGAAACCAACCAGCAACACACCATGGTCTACATTCCTTCCTACTTCGACTTTTGCTCGTTGCGAAATGCCTTTTTGAAGCGCGACTTGCCCTTTGTCAGTGTGCACGAATACAGTCGCACCAGTGAAGTGACGCGTGGGCGTGCCCGATTCCTACAAGGACGCAAGCCCATTATGCTATACACGGGACGGTCCAATTTCTTTCACCGCCACAACATCAAGGGTGTGAAGCATTTGGTCTTTCTGGGGCTGCCGGAACACCCCGAGTTCTACTCGCAACATGTGAATCAGATTGTCTCTGCGGAAAATGATCCATCCGAAATGGATGGTGTCTCTTCCGTTTCCAGTTGTCTGGTATTGTGTACCAAGTACGAAGCAATTGCCCTCGAACGCATCGTTGGTAGCGCCAATTGCTCTCGCATGTTGAAGAGTCAGAAGTCTACCTTTATGTTCTACTCCTAAGTGAATGCTGATAGAGGCTAGCATTATACTATCATACAACCAAACTAAGAACGAATGAATCAGATATTCAATATAGGCAATGGCTTTTGCATCTTTTTCGTCTACACTACAGTAGCATAGAGTAGATTCAAATAAATGCCGTACCGGTACCTATTAATTAATTCGTATTTTGATACCACCTCTAGTGGAGTGAGTACCTCGGCAGAGCTCACGTTTCGTGCTGGGCATAATAATGTTCGATTTTTTGGGCACCTCGGCCTACACGTGGAAGCAATTTTGCGCAAATTGAAAATTACCCATCACACGGAAAGTTATTACTCGTCCTCCACTTTGATTGCTTTACAGTTGCAAAACAGAATGAGTAATCTTCCATTCCCCATTTTTGTGCAAAACAAGCCCGTTGATCCAGACAACAAGAGAGCAGCTTTGGCAGCAGTTGGACAATGTCGATTCTATCCATCCACTTGTAGTAATCCCTCCGATTATGCTGAATTTCAAGACATTTGTGCCAAAAACAAAGAACAAGCCTTGGTGGATACGGACACGCCCGAAACCAAAGATGAAAGCAAAAAGCTGAAAAAGAAGTACATGAAGCAAGGTGTGGCCATGGCCTCGAAATACCTTCGTCAAACACTACAATTGGATGTCAGCATCATTTCAGTTCAAGTTGTCTTGGAGGGAAAGCATATTTTGGAAACCGATGGGTGCTTGGTGGCATGTATGTTGGATGCTGGATGTGCTGCCATTGTTGTGGATGGATTGAATTTAGCCGCCTTGGATGCTGCGAAGGTTCCTCGTGAACGCATTGTGGCCCACTTTTCCTCGTCGGAAGCTGCAACTTCGGATGCCATTCAGGCGGCGTTGTCATTCGCCAGTTGCATCAGTGTCGAACTATCCAACAACTCGCTCGAAACAGTCGATTCTACTTTATCTCTAGTCACGGAACAGTCTGATACCGTAGACTTTCAACTGACGGCTCCATCTTCCGATATCGTCGCACAAATTATTTCCCAAAGTAAGGCAAGCGTCGGACTCGTGGATCCATCGGCCGATTTGTTGGGATCCAGTTGTATTGCTTGCATGAAACAATCAGATCGTCAAGACGGATTATACGCTACGGTGGTATGTACCCGAGCTAGTGAAGCCTTGGGTTTGGAGTATTCTTCCAAGGTACGAAAACCAACGAATTTTCGCATTAGTCATTACGTGGCGTCAAATCATTACAACGATGCTCAACACTGATGTCTTTTTGTTTGTTGTGGTATTCATTCCTTTAGGATTCCATTATTATTGCCTTGGAGTCTGGTGCTGGTATCTATTGTTCCCGTTCCGACGGTACCACTACTTCCTCTGAAAATAAGGCCGCCCAAACTTTGCACCGCCTAGATTTGGATTTCCATGGCGACGCCCTTCGATTTACCGTGACGCAATCCTCTGGGGATGATGCAAAGAACGGTAATGGCAAGCCTAGCACTGTTACTGCTTGGGGCACTCCAACGGGCATTCGTCACTTGGAGGACACCCTCAAGGACCGACTCCAGTCAGCACCGGAAGGATCCTACACGAAGCGATTGTTTGATGATCCTGACTTGCTCCGAGACAAACTGGTAGAAGAGGCCCAAGAATTGGCCGAAGCCGAAGACTTTGACGAGGTAGCTGGTGAATTGGCCGATGTCATGTACTTTGCGTTGGCCCGAGCCACCAAGGCGGGCGTCAAAATGGAAGATGCCGTGGCTGAATTGGATCGACGAACGAGAAAGGTCACACGGCGAAAGGGAGATAGCAAGGCATTCCGTATTGCCGCAGGAAATGCCATTCTAGGCAAAAAGTAAAGTAACAAGTATTAGACGTAGGAACATACTTCGTCATGCCTTTGCCAAATTTCGATCATTTAAAATGCAAATCGATCATCTAATGCTGCAGTTCGCAGAATCTGACCAAATCCTTTTGAGTTTGTAAAATCTATACTATGATTACATGCTTGCATACACGATTCTGCCCCGAAGTTGCCACAAACGTTTTGTCCGCATTTTATCCAGGTTCGTATCGCCCATTTCTGGTTCGCTCTGGTCCAAGCAAGCTGCTGCTAACTTATATATACGGTAGCCACGACACCAGGCAGCACAATCTACTTTTTTTCGGGCAGGAATTCCAGTGCTCCAGCATCAGTGATTTTACGGTAGTAACAACCAGAACGATTCTTCTTGCTACTGTCATGGGTTGTGTGACAGGTTCCATTGTCTTTGGGTCCTTTTACTAGATACAACAACGAGTTTTGTTCGCAATTGATCCGTATTTCCACCAAGTCCATGTAGTTTCCGGAAGTCTTTCCCTTGATCCAAAGTTCATTCCGACTAGTACTCCAAAAGGATGCTTTCTTTGTTTCCAAGGTCGTTCGTACAGCAAGTTCGTTGGCATAGGCAATCACGTAAACTTCACCAGTGTCAACATCTTGGGCTACCACTGGGACCACTTGGGATTCTGTGGCGGCCACCTTTTGAAGTTTGGTAAAGTCTAGCATTAGACGGGAGCCATCTTCAAGTTCTTCATGTGTAGGCTTTTCGTCTGCTCCGCGAGCCATGGGAAAGGTCACTTTTCCTTCTTCTGCCATTGTTTGGTAAAATTGGGATGATGCTGGTCTGTTTGAAACTCGAAACGTTGATCGATTGTTGATGAATTTGGTTTTGATGGCTTTGTTCCACGTGGAAGCATTTCTGTCTGCCTTTCAACCGAAAAACATTAGTTCCGACGTCATCAGTCGTCCGTTTCGAGTTCTTTGCCACCTGGAAATCCGATGATGAAACCAATCGGAATGACAGCATCGACCTCTAATATTATTCGGCTTTGATCTCTGTCCATCTAAGAAGTAAATAATCTTTTCCCTTTCCTTCCTTTCACACAACAACCGAATATCACAATGAAGATTACTGCCGCAGTATTATGCGCACTCGCCACTGGCGCCAGCGCCTTTTCACCGCAAAAGGGATTCGTCTCAAGAAAGTCTGGATTGATTGTCCCACCATCGGCTCAAGACGAACAGTCATCATCATCATCACCTTTGTTTGCTCCCAATATGGTTGCTGGAGGAGCTGAGCGTTCTTATGGACAAGAATATTATGAGGGTGCGTGCTTGTTTCAGATACAATGATTGATTTCGGATGGATGCGAAAGGATGCAAATGTTGGATATTTTTCCAGATATTTTTGGATCCACGTTGCTAAAAATCGCTGTGGGTCCAAAATTGGATCCGCATTTGTGGCTGTGGCTTACATCCATATTCATGTGCTTTCTAAGGCTCGTTTCTCACGCACATTCTTCCGTTTCAAACTCTTTATCTCTTGCTCTCTTTCCTTGTTGAATTCAAATCTGATCCATCAAAATATCATTGATTCGTATTATATCAATTCCAACAACCAATACACAACACAACAGGAGCCCCAATTGGTCCCCCTCCGGATCTTCCATCCTTGTTGTTGCACAATAGAATTGTTTACATTGGTATGCCATTGGTCCCTGCCGTCACCGAGTTGGTCATTGCAGAACTGCTATACCTGAACTACGAATCCACCACTGATCCCATCACCATGTACATCAACTCTTCCGGAACCACCACTGCCAATGGACAACCTGTCGGTTTTGAAACTGAAGCCTTTGCCATTGCTGATGTCATGAAGTACGTCCGACCACCGGTCCACACAGTCGCCTTGGGACAAGCCTTTGGAGCTGCTGCCATGCTGTTGTCGCAGGGAAAGAGAGGCTACCGATTTGCCCTGCCCAATGCCACCATCTTGCTGAACCAGCCAAAGTCGCAAGCTCGTGGTCAAGCTTCTGATATTGCCATCAAGGCCAAGGAAGTTGCACACAACAGGAGACATACCTGTGAATTGATTGCCACTGCCAGTGGAAAGCCTGTCGAGACTGTCATGGCCGATTGTTCTCGTGTCAAGTACTTGCAACCCCATGAGGCTGTTGCATACGGTTTGATCGACGAGGTCATTGATAATGGAACCAAGAACCTTCCAGTCGAACCTGCTTTCATGTCACAACTTTAAGGAGCGAATTGGAGGCGTTTGGAATCATGGGAGTGAATGGGTCCATGCACTTACTAGATATTAGACAGTGACTGTTTTTTATTATTAATACCGTATTTGTTTGAATCTACAAAACAGAAAATGTAATATTATATTAGGTACTAGTCAAATCTCTCAACGTCGATAGGCTAGCATAACTGATTCAGCGATGCGGGTTGCCATGTGCACTGGAACTGCGTTTCCTATTTGCCTGAATTTCTGGTCCTCCGAACCGCAAAAGGTCCAGGTAAGCGGGAAGCTTTGCAACGAAGCATATTCGCGGACACTCAAATATCGATTAAGCTTGTAATGGATAAATCGGTTTTGAGACATGACTGTAGGAGCTGGGCGGTCCGCAGACAATTTTGTATTATCTGGATGGTCTTCGTTAAGGTTTTTGGATTGAGGGGCACAATGATCTTCAATCTCTATTCCTTGAATAGTAACACAACCCTTATCGTCTGCTGTAATGTCAGACAACGCCCCTATAGCATCACCCACTGTTCGGACATTATGCATGTGCCTCTCATCGCCATGCGTCGGTGGCGGTCTTGGAGGCAAGAGCATGGTCTCATCAGCTGCAAAAATAATGATTCTTTTCCTCACTTGAGCGTCACCATATTCGCTGGCATCTAAAACACACAAACGAACCTGGAAGTTCAACGCACATAGATCTGCAATCATTCCAAAAAGAATCTGTCGATGCGCTTTTGTTGCCAGACCCATTACATTCTCGTATGTGGCGGTCTTTGGTCGAAAGTGACGGACTGCTTCCACAAGCGCAAACGATAGCTTATTGTTGTTTTTATCGTCCTTCCCTCCATATCGATTTGCCCGCGAGACACCCTGGCAAGGAGGGGATGCATGGATGTGATCCACTTCATCTTGCCTCGGATAGGCTTTATATTCCCTTGACTTAGACTTGTCAAGAAAATGGTATACACATTCACGGAAGAAATTAGTTTTATGCCGCTTCGATAGGTTACCACGAAGTGTACCGACGGCATGCCCATCTTTCTCCACAGCCCATCTAACATCCACACCCGCAGCCAATAGGCCCTGAGACATGCCACCAGCTCCAGAAAACAATTCAAGCGTTCTGGGTGGCTTATCTCTATTCAAACTCCTTTTCTTTTTCTCAGATGAAGAAAGCCGCACTTTCTTCCTGAACTTCCTGCAGATTGAAAATTCGTGCTTAATCTCACTGTCAAAAGTGTAACACCAGTCCTCAACCAAACAGCTCAAAGGGAGTTCTTTGAACGGCACGATCGCAAAACCATCGACTAATTCATGCCTGTCGTGCGATGTTGACTGGCTTGGAACAAAATCATGGCAAGTAGCCTGCCTCTTCTCAACATCTACCGCTCGGACTCCGAGCACAGTACCATCGCCTTTCCTGTACAATGATCCAATGGTGGGAGGCATTGCTTTGTCTTCATCAGGTACCTTGTCGTCATTCACTGAAGCTTGAGCTTTAATTGAAGTGCCATCAACGCTATGATCGCTGCTGTCACTTGACAAAAAGCCTTCCTTTTCTGCATTATCATCACTGGTGTCGTTGTTGTTGTTGTTGCTGTTGACATTGCCAGCGTGATCATGCACAGTCCTTTCCATTTGCTGCATTGCCACTTCTATATCCAGCAGCTCGTCTACATTTTCACTTGCGTGTTGGTCTGATTGACCCTCGCTGTCGCTGTCACTGAGAGTCAAGTCAATAATCTCTTGACCAAAACCGCTTCGTGTCCATCCCTTAGAAGTCCTTCTCCTCTTTTGCGTTTTTTTTGAAGGCAGCGACTGTCTTGAGTCATCCGTGTGATCGGATTCCATTGCATGTATCCTTGCGCTCGAGGACTTTGCTACAGTATGTTGAGGATTACTTGATCCGCTTCTTGCGATCACTACTGGCTGATGCGATCACTATACTGCCTGTGTTGGGCCTTTGATATTGCGACTACAGTAGTCCAATGTAGGAGTAAGTTTTCACAATTTTCTCAGTATGATTACAGCGGACTAGAGTGTACAAAACTGTCAACTAAATCAGAAGCCAGTGGCGAAGAAATCTGCTACATCCAAGGGGCGATCAGAACAAATAACTTCCGTCTCGCAAGTTTCTCCAAAGTGGTATGCACAATTCTTCTTCGACACCAACTCAGTTTCACCCTCGCTGTGCAAAGCTTTACCATTCGCGTACACCTCAAAGCTTCCAGGATTTGCAATGCCATCACCAAAGGTGTCTTCAAAATATACCACTCCACATTTATCCTTTGGCAAGCAGCTCACGTACATGTACTCTTCCAAGTGGGCAAACGAACCGCTTTGGACATGGTGCCAATCGAAATGGCCAGTGTCATTCAACACCTCATACCCGTTCGCTTCCTTTTTCAAATCGCCCCACTCAAAATAAGGATGCATCTGTGATGCCTGTACCAGAGTATCATGGAAATAACCTAATTCTGTCACCAAAAAGTGGATTTCATGCGCATGAGAGTCCGTTTTCAGATCAATCCACACTTTGGTTCCGCCATCTGGACAGTATAGGATACCGTGGCAGTCTTCCTCGTGCTTGTCGTCACATGCACAATGAAGATTTGCAGATGGAACAAAGAGCTCTTCCATCTCAGCCAGCTGCTGGTTCGTAGCATTCTTGGCGCTCCCAGCTTCCAACACGACTGGAATGTCTTGGATATGCTGAAGCAGAGTCTTCTTGACGATGTGCGGCTTGGAAGCCCTCCCGTGGCCTTCAGCGGCATACCATCTCAGATCATCGGTAGGCACCCAGGTATCAGCGGTTGTTCTGAGATCCAATGGGTCACTGATCAAATGCACGGTATAATTTGAGGCGTAGAGATCGAAGGATCGGAGGCACTCAGTGCGACATGGAGCATCAATGAAAGTTCGACTGCAGTCAGATATGCAATCGAGATTCAAGTATTTTTCCTTGATGGCCAGCCACCGCCTTCCACTGTATATAATGTATTCCCCATTGATTTCATTCTCCAATAACTCCGCGTCTGCGTAATACACGGGACGGTCTCCGATGAAAATATCCAAGCGTTCGTAAACTGGAAAGTTGAAAGCGAACCCTTCCGACCCTAGATCATTACAAAGCAAGTCGACATGCTCACTGGGAACGAAAGAGGCCAAAAATTCCACCGTTTCGAGAACTCCATCCTTCGAGATGTTCTTCTCGTCCTTTGCGAACCATGGATCGGTGGAATGCGTCAAGATGTCGTAAGCATCAATGTTGGCTGAGCTAGACTTAAAGGACCTCAACGTCCATTGGTCACAAGGGTACATCATGTCATCGCCGACGGCAAATACCCAGCTTTCACCGCAGTAAAAGAAGGCCGCATGCTCATTCTGCCAGTTGCCTTCACACCGATCAGTTGGCAGCTTCGTGTAGATGATTCGCCCAATACTTGAATCAGTCCTTTCACGTATATCGGAATAATCCGCCATGGGCAAGTAGCAACCAATGTACATTCCAGACAACGTTGAAAGCCATGGAATGGCATCGTCGTGCAGCTGGATATAAACCTCATTGTCTCCAAACATGCGATTGTCCTGCATTATTCGGATCAGAGCATAACACCCCATCAAAACCAAGAGTACAACGAAAAGTGGCCACTTTCGCAGCCATTTGTGCTTGTCCTTTGGGGCGTACTTCACCTCTGCAACAACACTTGCAGTGTCCTTCATGGCTCTTCCAAAGAAACCTCTCCAAGCCAAATCAAACGCTGCGTCATCCAGACTAGCTACAAACTCCATGGCGGTGAAATTCAGCAACAGATCCACGACTTCTTGAGATTGCATGATGATCAAGAAGGTTACAAAGATACCAAAGATACCAATGTTGACTTGCGTCAAGGCTGCGAGGTAGTACTTGTATACTGTCACACCTGGCACCTCACGGATATACTTGAAATTTTGTACAAAGAGATCGAGACCCTGGAAAATGTTGTTTTGTGTGTACACAGTGATAGCAACGGCAATCAGCTGAATGGCAATTGAGTTAGATATACGGAGAAAGCAAACAGAACAACGCGGGTTGTCATAACGTACCTCAGCAGTGCGAGTAAAGGGATCTACATTGACAGGGATATTGAGTGGGTTTTTGGGATTGGTGATATCTATTGCATTGCTGAATTAGAAATTAGAAGTTGCAGAACCATTGATGAGTACCACTGCAAGATTTTTGATCATAATGATCGATAGACTTACGATAAGGCAAGAGCATAAATCCCAGCTTGCAATGCAACAATGCCCCATGAGAACCAAAATGGAAGACACATATAGTCACGAGACCGATGCTTTGCTCTAACGACATGTCCTTGTTGGCTGCATTCTATAGCATCCTCGGGTGGACTGTGCCCACACAGTGGCCATTTTGCGAGCAAGAGGAATGAGACTGTACTGTGTGGAAAGGCTGCAACATCGTCTTCGTCGTCTTCGTCGTCGTCCATTGGTTCCAAGTCCATCTGCATCGAAATCATACTTGTAGCCACCGGTGCTTCTTTGAGGGAAGGCCTCGAAGTTGATGGTCGCTTTCGAACTCCTTGGTCTTGGTATCGTTCTAACTTTGCTTCCACTGTCAACATCTTCTCTTGCAAGTCTGCCACAAGGATGTGCAACGGCTCCTGCCCGTCTTGAGGCTTGTCATTGTACGTAGCGCTTTCTTCGTCGTGTCCCTCATCGGAGGACATCGTGTCAGTAACTATGGCGAAATCAGTTGTTCAACGTTGATGGCCATTGGTCTCCATTTTGGTTTCGGTTGGTTTTTTACGCTCGGCTTCTTCGAAGGCTGTGAAGCGAACTTTCAAATCATCATTTAATTCGCCTTGGGACCTCTTCCTGTTCATGATCAAGAACTGAGTGAGTGGGGTCGTCGGTCAGTCGTCGAGCACCAGATCCCCGGCGCTTATTACACGGTACAGTCTATGTATCGGACTTTCGATATTAATAATAGTTCATATGAAGTATGATATCTGGCATACTATCTCGACTGGCGCCATACCAAGACTACTTCCCAAACTAGATGACAGTGTAATATAATTTACAGACGGAACTAAAAAAATGTTTACAAACCTCTGAGTGATATTATCAAACAGTCGAGAGATGCATACAGTTCCGCATCCATCATCTCAAATCAAATGTAGGAAATTGATTCTTCAGCCCGACAGCGATATGGGTGGGTTATACAGTTGTAGATACCGAGACGTCAAAAGCCAGATGTGAAGAAATCTGCTATATCCAAGGGGCGATCAGAGCAAATGACTTCCGTCTCGCAAGTCTCCCCAAAGTGGTATGCGCAATTCTTCTTCGACACCAACTCAGTTTCACCTTCCCCGTGCAAAACTTTATCATTCGCGTACACCTCAAAGCTTCCAGGATTCGCAATGCCATCGCCAAAGGTGTCCTCAAAATATATCACTCCACATTCATTCACCGGCAAACAGCTAACGTATTTGTATTCTTCCAAGTGGTCAAAGGAGCCGCTTTGGACATGGTGCCAATCGAAATAGCCAGTGTCATTCAACACCTCATACCCGCTAGCTTCCTTTTTCAAATCGCCCCACTCAAAATATGGATGCACCTGTGATGCCTGCACCAGAGTATCATGGAAAAAATCCAATTCTGTCACCAAAAAG